CTCTCTCCCCACAAGACTTCTCCCCACAACCACCGAGACGTTATTTAAGGAGCACATTTCACATTGTGCTCTTTGAGAGTCCACAGTCCCTTCACTTCAGCCCTATGTGAACTTGGTCCAGTGCTGACCACCCTTCTAGTATGGTTTAGGCCCAGCTGTCCTCCCAAAGTCTCATGCAGTCATGGGGTCGACTTCTAGACTTTGTGATTAATTCATGATCTGGTGCTGAGATTATGGATAAGTGCTGCTGGGATTATGGGTATGAGTGCTACACCCGGCCTGGGGTGGACAGACTGAATGAAACATAAGGAAGACAGACTTGCTCTCTGTAGCCAGTGTTACTGCTACTCCTTTCTGCTCTTGCTGCTTTGCTGTTTTCCACAACCATGAACTGCTGCCACCATGAATGGATACTCTCTACCCTGTGCTACTCCGCCTTCAAGCTAGCCAAGTATGGACTGAAACCTTCAATCACTGTGAGCTAAATGAACCTTCCTTCCCTAATTTTGAATGCTGGGTATTTGTCCCAGCAATGAGAGAAGAGTAACTGAGACCTAGTTCAAGGTAAGAAGCCATGTCGTACCCCATCCCCATCCATGCTACACGCAGGCCCACATTCCTAGATTATGAAGGCTCGTGGTGCAGACCTATCCACTGGTGTAGCTAGCTATGTAGCCCTTGACACATATTCACATAAGCACAGTCCTATAATTTATACCCTGATAAGCCCTTCCCAAGAGCAAGACTCATCCTCTAGCCAGGTCTGTGGCTCATTCTGGGAGACCGAGGAGGGAGGATCACAAGTTCAAGTCCAGCACAGGCTTTGTCTCAAAATTTAAAAAAATATTATAAAAGACTGGCAATGTAGCCCAGTGTGAATGCTCTGGGTTCAGTCCTTAGTACCATAAAAAGAATTCTTTTTTTTTTTTTTTTTTTTTTTTTGGTACCAGGGATTGAACTCAGGACCTTGAAAAAAAAATTATTCTTTTATCTGGCTCACTGTCTCTTTAGCCCCCACTGAATTGCCCAAGCTGGAAAGTGCTAGGGTGACAGGCAGGCACCACCATGTCCAGCACATTATTTTATGTATTTAGTGTAGGGTCTACAGGGTCTCACTCTGTAGATTGGACTCCTAGTGATCCTCCTGTTTTTCAGCCTCCTAAGCACTGGGATTACAGGCCCACACCACCAGGCCCAATCTCAATCGCCATCTCAGCGTGCCCTGGGGGCGGGGCCGGCACGGCAAGCCAGGGATTGAACCCTGGCTGCTGCACTCTGCCTAAGGCACTTCAGTCTGCTGAGCTATCTGGCTGGCCCCACAGTCTTTTAATATAGTTCGTTATTTAGATCAGTCTCAGGTTCGTAGCAAAATTGAGCAGAAAGCAATGTTTGCATATGCCAACCTGTACTCACACACTCCTCATCTAGTAGCACTCCACCCCGTGGTACGTTTGTTACAATCTCTGTACAATGACACAACACTCACCCAGTGTCCATACTGTGTATTAGGCTCACTGTAATGTATATATCCTAAGGTTTTTGATAAAAATATAATGGGTATCCACCATTACAGTGTCACAGGAAACAGTTTCACTGTCCAAAAACTGCTCTGGACAACACTTATTCATTCTCCACCCCAAACCTTGCAACCATTGATCTGTTACTATCTCAAGTTTTGCCTTTTCTGAATGTTATGTAGTTGAAATCAAATGTGTTCCTTCAGATTAGCTTCTTTCACATATATTTTTTCTTTTTTTTTTTCACATATATTTTTTCAAGGTTTCCCGTGTCTTTTCAGTTTGATAGCTTATTTCCTTTTTTTTTTTTTTTTTTTACTTTGTTTTTTGTTTTGTTTTATTTGGGGAGGCATACTGGGAATTAAACTCAGGACCCTGCACTTGCCAGGCAGGCTCTGTGCCAGTGAGCTGTATCACTAAACCCCTCTTGTTTTCTTTTGGTATTGAATAATATTCTACTATCTAGATGTACTACCTCAAACCAAACGTAGGCCGTGTGCATGCTAGGCAAGCATTCTATCACAGAGCTACATCCAGAGCCTTCAAGCCATTTTTTTTTTTTTTTTTTTTTTTTTTTTTTTTTTCAGAACCGGGGATTGAACTCAGGCCCTTGCACTTGCCAGGCAAATGTTTATTCTACTGAGTCATCTCGCTGGCCCCTTCAATCTGTTTTTTTTTTTTTAAATCTCTGTTTTGGTTTACTAAAATTTAAAAAGCAGAATCATGAGTTATGGGTTCAAATCTCAGCTCAGTCTTACCTTTATGTGGCCTCGGACACTTACCTGACTTGCCTTGGACTCTAAGCCTCAAGTTGTCTAGTCTATAACTACCTCACATGAGTTGTTAATTGTAAACTTGCAAAACTTAACAGCTATAAAAATTAACACCAAGGGAACAGTGCTAGAAAACCATCTTCTGTAAAATTAGAGACTATCAGACAATTTTTTCTTTAAAAGCATGGTCTAAATTACTTTGAGGGCTGGTGAGATGGCTCAGTGGTCTAAAGCACCTACTTAGAACAACCTTAGCAAAGCACAGGGACTGCGGTTCAATCCCCCAGCACCACATGCCAGCCAGCCCCACCCCCTGGTGGGCTGAGCTGGCCACACACACACAAATAAATTAAAAAAAAATTTTTAAAAATTACTTTGACACAAAGCACCAGTCATGATTTTCAATTGAGATGTGAGCTTCAAAGGAAGGAGTCCCAGAGACAGTGTCATTCATTTATTTTAACCCTGTTTTCAGAGAAACAGCATCTGGAGTACTTTTCACCAGGCTTGTTTTGCCTAAGTCAGACCCTGCATAATGTTAACAGTTAACTAAGTTTCGCCTTTTCCAAAATCCTGCATGGTGTCCTACAGTAACTTTGAAGAGTGTCTTTCAAAAAAAACAATAATTATTATTTAGTGGAGCTGGGTTATAGCTCAGTGGGCTAAAGCAGGGAGGTTATTTGAGCCCCAGAATTTTGGACTGCAGTGCCCTAAATTCATTAGGTGGTCACACTAAGCTTGTAACAAAAAAGGTGACCTCCATGGAGCAAGGACCGCCGGATGGCCTAAGGACAGGTGTAAAGGCCATTTTGAATATTGGAGCTGGTAAAACTCATGCACTGTTCAGTAAAAACAGTATTCTATTGAATAAAATCCTGTCTTAAATGCATGCTTTTCTCATACTAGAAGTGCTGCTGCTGTTCCTGTTGTTGTTTGCTACATTGCTGGAGAATGAGCCTGGAGAGGGATGCTCTCATGCTAACTAAGCAAATGCACAACAAATGGGCTACACCCTGAAGCCCAGTTTTCATTTTTAATAGTTATTAAACATATTGGTTTATAAAGTTATATAACATTGACTCATATTTAAGACATTTTGTACACACAATGTCTCAGTGTGGAAAATTTTTGTGTTTTTTGAGACAGGGTGTTACTATGTAGCACAGGCCAACCTCCAACTTGAGGTCTTTCTGCCTCTGCCTCCTGAATGCTGGGTGTAGTGGCATGGGGCAGCACACTGGCTTCCATGTGGAAATGCTTTATATTGTTTGCAGGTTTTTGGTTTGTTTTTTTTTTGTTTTTTTTGGAGGGGTTTTTTGTTTTTTGCGGAACCGGGGATTGAACTCAGGCCCTTGCGCTTGCCAGGGAAGCACTTATTCCACTGAGCCTTCTCCCCCGCCCTTTCAGTACTGTTTTAAACTCTTAGTCTTTTCAACGTTAAAGCACACAGAAAAGTTTTTCTTTTCTGCAGCAAGTTAACAATTTTATAAAACCACAAAAGTGTCCTTCATAGTCACTGCTGCGGGCCTCATATCATGCATGGAATAATACTACAGAACCAGTAACAGCCAAATGTTTACCTACCCCTGGCTATAATATGTGAGGCACCCTATACAAAACCAATCACTTAATCTGTGACTTTATTTGGTTTGTTTTTGGTACCAGGGATTGAACTCAGGCCCTTCCACTTGCCAGGCAGGTACTTTTTGGGTTTGTTTGTTTGGTTTTTTGTGGGTTTTTGTTTTTGTTTTCCCGGAACGGGGGCATTGAACTCAGGCCCTTGCTCTTGCCAGGCAAGCTCTTATTCTACTGAGCCACCTCCCCTGTCCCTCAGTCATTTAAAATAGGAAAACAAGTGGGGTGTTGGTGTGGTTTTTGTTGTTGTTTTAGCTGGTTGGCTGGTGAGACAGGATCTCACTGTAGATCAGGTTGGCCTTGAACTCATTGTTATAGGCCAGGATGGTCTCAAATTCGCGCCAATCTTCCTGCCTCAGCCTCCCAAGTGCATAGACTACAAAATAGCATCACCACGGCTGGCATTTTTTTTTTTTAAGTGAAGAGATTAAAGCCCGAGGTGGTAAATACAGCCTATGAGGCCGACAAAGCTAAACGGGGAAAGCCTGTATGCTGAACAAATTGCAGTACCTTGAGATAAAAATAAACTAATTCTGCAAAGTCTCACCTCTGCCTTTGTCCCTACCCTTATCTCCTCCCCGCCTGCAACGCTTCATTCCACTCGAGTCTTAGCCGAACTGAAGCAATTTCCGCCCTAAGAAGGGTGGGGCTTCCACTGCCTCCTGCTCTCGCGATTACAGATGGTAGGCGAGGAGAAGGCGGTGGCCATGGTTCTTCCTTGCCCTTCCCCTAGGTTCCCCATCACAATTCCGCCCTTACTACTCCTACTTCCGCCCTGTGCAATTTGCCCCATACTTCCGCCCTTATAGTACCCTCCTCCGTTACCTTTGCCAGCCTTAAACAACACAAACAAAGCCAGGTTCTCCACCCAACTCTAGAAAAAACTCTCCTATCACGCCTCACCCCAACAGAAGAAAGGGCGGGCGCGGAAACACTAGCGTCTCCACCCTCACACACGCCCTCCTTAAGTAGGCGGAGAAACTCTTTTCGCCCTGAGAGAGGCGGAGCTGCACGCGTTAGCCCCGCTTTCGCGAGAACTTGGAACTCTCGCGAGACTCGACGCCCGACTTGTGCGCCCGGGAAACCCCGTCGTTCCCTTTCCCCTGGCTGGCAGCGCGGAGGCCGCACGGTAAGCATGAGCTCCGTTTCGGGTTGAGGTGAGGGCATCAGGGTCGGACCTCTCAGCTCGGAAACGTGTGTTTGGGGGTCGTAGGACGCCCGGCGTGCTGCCGCCCCGCCCCCTGGAGCAGCGGCCACGTGCGAGCGGCAGGCCTGGACATGCCCGATCGGCGTGGTCCGGGAGCCCAGAGGATCTGGTAGGCGATGGAAGGTGAATGGGGTTCCCAGAGTCGTGGGGATAAGGGGACAGTTTCGAGCGGCCTCCCGACGGGGGTTGGACTGGTGGGTCCAGCCTCCAGAGACTTGGGGTGCCAGTGAGCTATGCCAGACCTGGAGCTGGGGTTGAAACGCGCCACGGGGAGTTAGCGCGGGCGCTGCAGATTAGGACGCCGCAGGAGCGCGATTGGTCCTAGGCCAGGGTTCTTGTCAGTCGTCTTTGCTAGGTCTGGTGTTAACGTGCATGGTTTTCTCTTGCAGATGCCTGGAGTTACTGTAAAAGACGTAAACCAGCAGGAGTTCGTCAGAGCTCTGGCAGCCTTCCTCAAAAAGTGAGTGGAGAGGTTGAGGCTCTACAGAGGCTGAAGGGAAGGAGATTGTGGAGATTGCTGAACTATGCTTTTCTCAATGTCTTTCTTCTAGGTCCGGGAAGCTGAAAGTCCCCGAATGGGTGGACACAGTCAAGCTGGCCAAGCATAAAGAGCTTGCTCCCTACGATGAGAACTGGTTCTACACACGAGCTGGTGAGGAACTTGGGCCATTGGTTGGGAGTAGGGAATTACCTGGGCCCAAAGGTGGAACCCTTTCTTGCCTTCCTGTCAGGGCTGTGATAGGAGATCTCAATTACTGTCTTCACCGCTGAGGTGCCATATTTTAGTTGTGGTTTTGACTGAGTTTAAAGAAAGGTCTAGAGAGAGCTGAGTGTAATTTGTTTAGAGATGCTCGCCTTAGACAAGCATTTATTATGTCCACGCGGTCAGCCTAAGTTCACATTCATTTCTGCCATCTTCAGGCATGTTGTTTAAATCTGTCTTTGTTCAGTCCTGCAGTGCAGGTAACCATTATATTAATATAGGATTGTTATTAGGGAAATGCTTAGATGGGTGTCTATTGCATAATTTGAGAAGTCAGTTGTTTTGTTTTGCTTTTCTTTGTTTCAGGTCATAATGCTAATTCTTTAGATCTAGAAAGGTATTTCTAACCATATTGGGAATCTAGGCAGATCATTTCCTGTTCTAAATCTTGATGAGATTCCCAAGTGCCAAAAAAACTGGTAAATTTTGTGGTTGCCTAGTAGCCTTTTAGCAGTCTCCTGTGTTAGTTTTCTAATTGTAATTTAAATGCATTTGCTGACTGCGCAGTGCTAGTTCTTGGTTGCACTAACATTTAAGGCTTCATAAGCAGTCACCCTTATATAGACCTAACTTGGACAGAGGAGTCATTGCTGGGGTGGTAGCCTGTCGAGACCCTCACTAAAGTGCTTTAATTTCCAGTCTTTAGTCTTCCTTTTATGAAACGGGAACTCAAGAGTGGCCAAGTCTTATCAGTAGATAGGAAGTAAGAAAGCAGATTAAGTGAATTATAACAGTGATCCCCGAGATGACTTGGCCTTGGGCCTTGTACAAGTTGGCATGCGCTTGGGCAGCAGCTGTCATTGAGGCCGGCTTTGTTTGACTCTTTGGACTGGGCACAATATGGACTCACCACAGCATCTGTCCTCTAGAGACTAACTAGAAGTTGAATGCTGAGGTAGGCAGGGCAAGCTGCATGGTCACCCATCACTGTGTTTTTAGAAAATAGGAAGAGAAGCTGACTTCCCTGGCCACCCAAGGCATCAATGAGGTGCAGTCCCCCACCCTCCACACACCTGGGAAGCAAGGTTGCTTGGTCCTGGATGTGTTTTGGCAGTGTTCAAAGAGTTGGCAGGTCATGGCTGCTTTGGATTTAGGGTTAGAAGGTAATAGTCTAGTCGCTTTTAGCCCTTGGGTGATGCGAGTACACATTCTGTGCCACGTGCAAAAAAATGAAGTTATTCGATGTCAAAGTGTTAAGTAACATGTCCAGAATCAATGATGCTGATCAAGACCCTGAGCCTGCTGGTCATGCTATAGTTGGTGTGACCCTTTCTTGTCCGCTATACCCTTCCCAGACCTTTCACAGTGGGTGTGCACTTTCCACTTGCTCCTGCTGTCACCACCTGATGGTTCCTTTTGGACCTCGCTTTCCCAGGCACACTGTGGCCTACGAGCAGTCAGGTTCTAGACCCCAAGGCTCATGCTTTTGTCGGGATGCTGCTGCTCCAGGTTGTTAAGACCACTACAACAGCAGGTACAGGATAGTTGTGACAGATGGAACATTTACTGTCTGAACCTCTATTGAAAGTACTTGCCAGTATCCTTGAATCAAGTGTTCTCTTGTGCCGTTAAGCTTATACTGGTGGTGGCTAACCTATGGCATGCATGCACCATGAACAGTTTGTATCATTGACCACTCTAGAAGGTTCACCATCATTGGCCTATATTCAGGTTATATATGAGGAGTGACCTCTGACGGGAAACCAGGGTACATAGAGGTGAAGTGATTGGGCTTCAAGTGGCTGTCGAGGTGTGGGCAGTTTTTGTCATGTGGCTATATTTGAGGATGCTGGGCTGCCTGTTTAGTCTCCTGAGGGTTTGAGGCTAAGGTACCCTCCAGGGGTACTTGCAGACAAGTGTTGATCAAGATAAGTCCCAAGTAGGCCAGGCAAATAATTTCAGCGGATTAAAGCGCCTGCTTAGGTAGATGCAGGGGCCTGAGGTTCAGTCCCCTGGCCTGCCATGCCAGCCCTGCCCCCAGGGCATGTCCCTGTAATCCCAGCACCTGGGAGGCTGTAATCAGGATCACTGTGAGCCTGATCTACACAGTGAGACCCTGTACAGGGTGTCCTAAACAAAAAAAAAAAAGTTCCAAGGTTACCTGTGAGGTAGAGCTAGATAGGACCCACTTGGGGAGAATGGAGACCTCTGGAGAAGGGCTTAGCCATACTCCAGGGAGAATTTTTGTGACCGAGTGAAGTGTTACCCTGTTTGGGCCACTTGTTCCTCAGAAGGAGCTGCTTTGGAGTAGGAAGAATCACACAGTAGTGTCCACTTTCAGGCTGAATTAGGGCTTCTGGTTGCTTGTAAGGTGGAGGTTGGTCCACCTGACCTCTGCAGGGCTAGCAACCCACTCGTGCTGTGTTCTTAGAAGAAATAGGCCGAATAACAGGGTGAATTAAGGTCAGAAAGATGTTCCTTAGAAAGTCAGAATGGGGCCATTAGTGTCCTCTTGGCCAACTCTTTTTATTTTTATTTTTGGCGGAACCGGGGATTGAACTCAGATCCTTGCATTTGCCAGTCAAGCGCTTATCCTACTGAGCCATCTCCCCGGCCCCTTTGGCCAACTCTTGAAGTGCCAAGTTGGTGTAACTCAAGACAACTTGGTGTCCTTGTGAGTTCAAGCACAGTGACTTGCATACAAGTTTTCAAGTTTTTTTGAAAAGGAATGGGCTGTCACTCCCAAGGACACAGGAAAGGAACAAGTGCCTGTGGGGAAGCTGAGAAGCTGTGGTGGGACTTGTTTCATCAGCCCTCTTAAATTACAGCTAGAGTGGCCTGAATTTGTGAACTTAGAGCAAATCTTCAGGGGGTAGAAAAGAGGTCAGTTAGAGCGAAGCCACAATTTTAGGGGTTTTAAATTTTTTTTTTAAATCTTTTTGTTTCGTACAGGGTCTTCCCTGCACAGCTCAGACTCATAGTGCACCGCCATGCCCAGGATTTGGGGCAAACACAGCATATGATACTGGGGATAGAGCCTAGGTTCTTGCGCTTGCTAAGCAGTTACATAGACTGCCAAGCTATCTCTCTAGCCCAACAATTACAGTTTTTATAGCTTCCAGTTCATAAAATGTCCTTCTTAGGGCCAGCCAAATAGCTCAGCGGATTAAAGCACCTGCAAGCAGGAACGGGGGCCAAGGGTTCCATTCCTGGGCCTGCCATGCTGGGTCCCCCGCCTCCGGGGTACACTGAGACAGCAGTTGAGACTGAGTGTGGTGGCACACGCCTGTAATCCCAGCTGTTGGGAGGCTGTAAACAAGGCAGATCACTACAGGTCGGATCTAGTAGTGAGACCTTGAACACCCTGTAGACCCTTCCCTAAAATACAAAAAATTAAAATGCCCTTCTTGTGAGTCAGAGTAACTACTTGGATGAACTGTGGTGGCAGGGCAGGACTTGGTGATCTGACAAATTGGTTTTCTGTTCTAGATGGTTTTTATACAGCACTAAAGAAATGTAATCCCCCACTGAAGATCCTGTAGATTTTGGCTCTTGCTTCACTAGTCACCATGCTGAGAGTTTAAGTGAACAGTTCCCTTTAGTGCTACTGCACACACCACCTGTGGGCTAGATAATCACAGCTGACAAGAACAGTATTAGAACTTGAGTCCTCATTTGTTGTCTGCCTGGCAACTCTGGACACTGTCCTAGTGAGCCAAGGCTCCTTGTGTTTGGGTGAGCAGTCCCAGCTGGGCTTCTATGGATCAGGCCTTTGAGCAGCTGTCTCTTTGTCCTGGTGTACCCAGAGCCTGAGGACAGGCCAGTGAAGGTACAGGGTAGACCAGCCAACCTTCCATGGCTGTTGGGCATTTAGACTGGTCTCCAGGGGTATTTTCCAGCAGTAGTCCTATTGGCAGAAAGACTAGAATCTATAACACAAGACACTGTTTAAGCCCCTGCCTTTGAGTCCAGAGCTACTGAAGAAATGGATGTCTGATTGCCCCAGCTAACCTGAACCAGAAGAGAGGTATCATTTGGCCAAATGAGGGTCATGCTGAACCCCAGGGATAAAGCAAGAAACCATGCCCTTGTGTTCTGCAACCAGACAACTGTGCAACAGCTAAGTCTGGGTCTTTCCTGTGTCTTAGGCTGCAAATGGCCAGGCTTTGGTGATACAACAGGCAGTCCCTCCAGGGCTGAGAAGCATGGGCTGTTGAGTCTTCCCTTGCCAGAGTGAAGGCTTACTCCTACACCTGGGTCAGGTTAGGTAGCCAGGCTTCCATGCAGTGGCACATCTGAGACTGCTGGTATCTGAGCTGGCTTTCACTTGAGCTTGCTGTCAGACAAGGAGGCCCTCTGCTGGGGGAGACTGGGTAGGACTTACCCAAGCCAGTCAGATGAGAACCAGCCCCCAGGTCCATGGAGGGGGTGATGCACAGTGCAGATTGGAACATTCACTACGTGGTGTTTTCCTGAGCACGACCCTGCTGGCATGGCCAGGGAACTGCACTTAGGAGTAGATCCTTTTTCTGAGACAGGGTCTCCCTATGTAGTCCAGGCTGGCCTCGAACTCCTAAGCGCCAAGATAACAGGCATGCTACAGCACCATGCCCATCTTTTATTTTCCTTGACTGTTTGCTAGGCTCTATCTCAAGAGTGCTGGACCATTTAGTCATCAACAAGCTAGGGTGAAGGATAAGAAGGGTACTGGGTACTGGTATTTTCTGTTCTTTTCCCTGTGCAATGTTGAGAATTAGCCGTATGTGTGGCCTTGAACTCCCAGAGAAAGGTCCTCTGACTCTCGCCCCACCTCCAGCTTCCACAGCTCGGCACCTATACCTCCGGGGTGGTGCTGGGGTTGGCTCCATGACCAAGATCTATGGTGGCCGTCAAAGGAATGGCGTCATGCCCAGCCACTTCAGCCGAGGTTCCAAGAGTGTGGCACGCCGAGTCCTCCAAGCCCTAGAGGGGCTAAAAATGGTGGAAAAGGACCAAGACGGGTGAGTAGTGGGGAGGCTGAGAGCCAGGTCCTGCCCACAGATCAGCTAGAGTGGAGTTGTCAGGCGCCACTCCCATGGATGGAGATGGTTGCCAAGTGCTCTGCCCCTGCCCCTCAGGCCTCAGAGGCAGGCAGGGGATTCAGCAGAAACGCAAACAGTGAGAGCCTCACCCCGACCTCTCTGGCTGACTTCCTCAGACTCTGGGAAGGTAATTTAGCGACTGTCCGCTTTCATTAGCCTGCTCGTTAACTTTTCCCAATTGATTTTTTCGGGGCTTTTGATCTAATGCTTGCACAAACGACACCCCGTCAGTTCCCAGGAGGGCTCCTGCTCCTTCTCCCAGCTCATTAGAATGTAGCAGACTGGAGCCCTAGTGTGACTTGGCTGCGGCTAGCATCATATGGTCCTACAGCCAGGAGCCTTCTTAGAATGACTGTTCTCACTGGCAACTGCATCACTTCCCTTCTGCAGGGGCCGCAAGCTGACACCTCAGGGACAGAGAGATCTGGACAGAATCGCCGGACAGGTGAGGCATTCATGCAGGCCTGAGTCAGGTCCTTTGATCACTGTAGGCATTTCCAGAGCCCCTTGTCACGTAGATCTTACTTCCTCCCAGAGAAGGCTTCCTATAGGCAGGGAAGAAAATGCTTCTGACATTTTTGCTGGAGTAACTTGGATGTTTGACTGGTGGCATAGAGGGAACCCAGGCCCAACACGCGGCTGAGTGCATCCCTGCACCCCCGCACTCGGTTCCCTCCTCCCTGTGAGCCTTCGAGTTCTGACTGCAGTACTTCCTTACTCATTCCTGCTGGGCACCAGGAAGGGCAGCATTCTGGTTCAGGTCTGCCCAAATCCTGGCTGGCCTGTACTTAAACAGGGTTGCCTCAGCCCTGCAGTCTCCCTGTATAACTCGATCTACTCCCACCGACCTTGAGGGTTCTGCAGGGCCTCTTGGGGACTTTTGTCAAAGAAAGAAGGGCCTGGCATGGGGCTAATGCATGTAATCTTGGCACCCTGGGAGGCCCGGGCTGGAGGATTGAGGCCAGTATGAACTCCATAATTAGGTGACCTGGAAAAAAGAACTTCTAGAGAGCAGAACCCGGCACAGTTGTCAGTGCTAGAGGTTGCCTCTAATGGGATTGTTCTGTTGCCTGGAGCCTAGTTTTAAGTCTGTATCCTCTGGAGATGCCAGCTGGGGGTAGCATGTAGCTAATTTCATATAGTGCACCGGAGCAAAAACTCAGCTGATCTTGTTTCTCCATCTTTCCCCCAGGTGGCAGCTGCCAACAAGAAGCATTAGAACAAAGGATGCTGGGTTAATAAATAGCCTCATTCATAATCCTGGTCTGGGTCTCTTAATTGGCTGTTCTTTGGGGGTATGAGGATGGTGTACTTCTCTTTTGTAAGAGGGACTCTAGGGGTCTCAGAGTTCGTGGGTCAGGGCCCAGGGGGCCCCAGTGTCAGCCCCTCCACCCCCGTGTCTACCTCCCCAAGTCCCAAAAGAGGTGAAGTACCAAAGTTCATACTGCAGCAGGGCTACCAGGATTTAGCTTGACCTGTGGCCTCCTGCATACTGGTCCTCATACCAGTGACTGGTACTTCCTCTTCAGGAGATCCACGTGGCACCCGGGAAGATGGATTACTGGTGTCACCCAGCCCACCTCTCAGCTGGGAAAACTAAGAAGCTGAGCCTGAAGTGGCCCGGCCAGGATGGGTTCAAGCTACTCAAGTGTGGCCCATTTCTTCCAGTACAAAACCTGAACTTGGGCTAAGGAAGTAGCTCAGTACCAGAAAGGTCCTCCCTATGACGGCTCTTTCCCTCTGATCCTTGGCTGTTCCACTGCAAGATTCCTGCAACAGATGAGTGAAGCTGCCACCCTTCCCAGCTTGGAAGTTGGCGGGGCCAGAAAATATGTACATAAGACACTAGAACCTACTGTGTCAGCAATAACATGTTTTAGAAATGTTCCCAGCAACTCTTGTGAAGTAGGTCCCTACAGCACCCAGGTTTTGGCTGGGAAGAGGCAGAGCCTTTATTTAAACCCCTCAAACTTACCATCCTGGTATATTTGGCTGGAACTACCCAGTTGTTTGTGCTTGACATGGGCCCTTGCCAGTCACATTGTCCTAGGACTCTTTTGCTTTGAGACAGTTACTAGGTGACCCGAGTTCATTGTGCCCTACGCCAGCCATCCTGCCTCAGGGTTGCAGGTGTGCCTCCCCACCCAGCTCTCCATTTCTCTTTTCCTCCACTGAGAATGAGCCTTTCCTAGAGTTGTCAGGAGAGCTCAGGGCTCAGTTGTATACACAAGATGGGCACCAAGGGTCCTAGGTAAGTGACAAACTGCCTGGACCTGGGAGTGGGCCTGCAATCATGCACCTTCAGCCATTGGGGGGCAGTCAAGGGCCTGTAAAGAGTGATTAAGGGTGAAGGAGTTGGATTTGTAGGAGCTTCGAGCTGGCAATCTCATATTTGAGAGTGGGTCTCCCAGGAGGAACCTGAGGCACACATCAGGGGCCAACTGAACACCTGGGTCTCTGGAGGAGAGGGCCCCGAGGGTCAAAAGACAACCCTGTCCTAAGAACTGTATTAATAGTGCAGCCTCAGGAAATTATACTCTTGTTACAAGAAACATGACCATTCAGTTGGCAGAGCTGGGATACAAACCTAAGAACCAAGAAGACAGCCCAGATTTGTGCATTTTTGAGACAAGATGTTACTGAATTTTATACCAGACTTAAGATCCTTCTGCCTCAGCCTCTCAGGGGATTACAATCATATGTCCCCATACCTAGCTTGGATTCCCGCACACACACACACACACACCAATGGGAGATTGAACTCGGGCCCTTGAGCTTGCCAGGCAAGTGCTTATTCTAATGAACTATCTCCCCAGCCCACAGAATCTCAGATTCTTAAGGTCTGTTGCCAGCGGTGACAAGTCTTTTAGAGCTCTCAAAGATACAAAGCCTGCTGGGGGGGTGCCAAGGAGATGGCTCAGTAGAATAAGCACTTCCCTGACAAGCACAAGGGCCTGAGTTCAATTCCCAGTTCTAAAAAAAAAAAAAAAAACTGGGCATATTTGCCATGGGCCCACTACCACCTGCCTATGCTTTTCCATGTGGATGACACACTTTTTATTTATTTTATCTATTTATTTATTTATTGTATTTTAGGGAAGGGTCTCACTACTAGATCGGACTCAATGATCCACCTGTTTTACAGACTCCCAAGAGCTGGGATTACAGGTGCATGTGACCATTCCAGAGGATTGAACCCCCTGGTCCCTGTGCTTGCTTACAGGCGCTTTAATCCACTGAGCTATTTAGCTGGCCCCCAGTTACACTTTTTAAATTACAAAATATCTCAGATATGGGGCCAGGGAGATGGCTCAGTAGAATAAGTGCTTGCCTGGCAAGCACAAGGGCCTGAGTTCAATCCCCAGTTCCACAAAAAAAAAAAAAAATCCCAGGCATATATAACAAAAAATTAGATACCAGTTTAAGAAGTAATTACGGGGCAAGCGCAGTGTCCGGAGTTTGATCCCCAGTACTGGGAAAAAAAAAAAAAAAAAAAAAATTAGATACCAGTTTAAGAAGTAATTACGGGGCAAGCGCAGTGTCCGGAGTTTGATCCCCAGTACTGGGAAAAAAAAAAAAAAAAAAAGGACTGGTGATAGAGCTCAGTGGTATAGTACCTGCTGGCAAGTGCAAGGTCCTGAGTTCAATTCCGGTACAAAGGATAGTAATTATGCCAGACGTGGTAGCAAACTGTAATCCCAGGACTGTGGATGACTGAGACAGGAGGGTTACAGGATTGACATAGCTCATTGCAGAAGCCCTGGGTTTAAGCTCCAGCACCAGGAAAAGAAAAAGAGGACACAGATTAAATTCGGTGGCAAGCTTTTTTTCAGTGACAGGGGGCATGAAGTAAGAGCAACAAGTTAAAGCCAGTCTGAGACATTTAAGAGGACCCTGTCTCAAAAATCAAAAAAAGGGGTTGAGGATATAGCTCAATGGCATAAGCGACCGCATGGCAAGCACAAGGTTTTGAGTTCAATCCCCAATGCCTAGCATACCTAGAATCCCACCATTGAAGGAAACTAAGGCAGGAGGTTCAATCCCCCTCGTGCTGTGTCGGCCCTGCCCCACAGGGTACACGGAGAAGGCGAATGAGACTGGGCGTGGTGGCACAGCCTGTAATCCCAGCGCTTGCAAGTGTGAAAACAGGAGGATCATTACAAATCCAATCTGTGTAGTAAGACTCTGTAGACCCTGTACTAAATACATAAAAAAATTTCTTGAATGGCTGGTGAATACCACAAACATAAGCCATTATCAAAGCCTTGGGGCTGGGGAGATGGCTCAGTGAAATAAGTGCTTCCCTGGCAAGTGCAAGGGCCTGAGTTCAATCTCCGGTTCTGCAAAAAAAAAAAAGCCTAAAAAGTGAGTTAAGTGTTTACAGAATACCGAGAAAAATTCTTACCACATAATGTGTAGACCAGGGCCGGTGAGAGAGCTCAGCAGACTAGAGTGCCTACTTAGGTGCATGGTTCAATCCCCAGAGCACCACATGCAGCACCAGCCCCACGCTCAGGGTGGACTGAGCAGGCCACAGAGCCCGGGCGTAGGGACACACGCCTATAATCCCAGCGCTGGGAAGACTGAAAACAGGAAGATTACTATAAATCCGTGTTGTGAAACCCTGTAACAACCAAATACAATAAATAAATAAATAAAAACAACTTTCCTGTTCCTTTTAATAAAGCAATGGGGGCTAAGGAGATAGCTCAGCAGCTTAAGCTACTGCCTGGCAAGTATAATGTCCTGAGTTCCATCACCGGTACCACAAAAATAAATAAATAAATAAATAAATAAATAAATAAATAAATAAATAGAAACAAAGAAGACAGAAAATAGTGAAAGTAAAGATCTAAAAAAAAAAAAGATCTAATCATAGAAGAAGTTGCAAGAAGAAAGAAGTGACGATGACTTAGATTTTAGTATTGATTTAGATGACACAAATGATAACCAAGGCATTCAAGAAAGGAAAAAAAAAAAAAAGTTGATCAGGGGGAGGCTCACAAGTTTGAGGCTGACCTGGGCAATTTAGGGAAAAATCACCTCAATATCAAAATATTAAAAATAAACAGCTGAGGGCTAGCAAGATAGCTCAGTGGTCTAAAGCACCTTCTTAGGTTTGATACCCAGCACCACATGCCTCACCAGCCCACCCCTAGGGCAGGCTGAGCTGACCACAAAAATAAATAACTAAATAAACTGCTGAGAGGGTAGTGCAAGGGTAGAAGATTTGCATAGCATTGAGGTCCTGAGTTTGATTGCCTAGGGCCACCAAATAAACAGGGCTCAGAGGACAGACGTGACAGCCCAGTCACTGGGCTGGTTCCCAGAGGGTCTGCCTGTGCTGTTTATTTCTCCCCAGCGTAGACCACATACCATTGTCCAGGTCTCGGCAACCCCTCTAAGTCCCGCCCTGCCCCCAACACGCTAAGAACAGAGGCTCAGAGGGGATAGGTTTCGCCTAAGGTCCAGGAAGGGGCAGAATCCGATCTTAGGACCAACCACACAGACCTGCCTGCAGCAGGCACCGGCTCAAGACCAGGCTTCTTTTCCAGGACTTGGTAATGGGGGTAAGGGGTGGGACTTAAATCCGCCTCTCGGATCACTCCCCCCACCAGCAGCGGTGCCTCAGGGGAATTGTGGCTGCCACAGGTGCAGGAGCAGTTCCCCTCCAGGGGCCTGAAGCATACATGCAGGGACTGCCCGAAGGGCCCAGCAGTGAGGGCTACTGGAGCCCATCTCCGGCAAGGCTGGGCAGGAAGTGGGGTGGGGTTTGGGGGTGGAATCTGATAACCAGGACTGGTGCAACTCAGATTAATCAACCCACAGAAAGAAGATGCCTGGGAGTACAGGAATTTTCCCCGCACTGCGGGCCACCATCCTCCTCTTGCTGTCTGCAGCCTCCTTGGGTATGTGGCCAAAGGGCAGGTGCTGGGCCTGGGGAGGCCGGAGGGACTGCATAGGCAGGGGGAAGGGTTCTGTCCTGGAGAGGAGTCCGAAGAAGAGCTAAGGAGGCCCATATAGGAAGCAAGCACGTCAGTCCGTTTGGGGACTCGGTTTAGGATTTGACTGACCCAATATGTCCCAAGCTGTGCCAAGATAAAGCTGGAGGAGGCTCAGGAAAGCTAATGGGACGTCCGCAGCACCATGGAGGGAGGCAGGACCGCGGGTTCCATCCCCCACCCAACCTTTGTCCACACAAGTCAAAATAAGGAACTGAGGTGGTTCTTGACTGAGCACACAGAGCTGGGGACAGGAAGGGGACTTGGGGGTGGCACTGAGCATCAGAAGAGAAAGAACTGTACCCTTCTCTGCTTTAACTCTGTGGCTCCCTGTGTAAACCTCTTCTCTGTTTGGGGAGCAGGGTGTGCCTTGTTCACCCCTCCCTTCTCAACAGCCCTTCCCTTCCCCCACCCAAGGCCAACAGATGGTGACTGCACTGAAGTTCAAAGAGGAAGGTCACCCACCCAAGTGACATGAGGAGAGAGCGGGGATCAGATTATGTCTGGAGGGACTAATTTTTTTAAATTTATTTATGTATTTGGTATACTGTCTCACTATGCAGCTTGGACTCATAATGATCCTCCTGTTTTCAGCCTGCCCAGGGCTGGGATTACAGGCTTTTGCCACAACAGCCCGCCTGGCTGGCTCAGCGCTCAGCACACAGCCCAGGGGCGGGACTGGAGCGGCAGGCGGTACCAGGGATCCAACCCCGTCCCTGGGCTTGCCTAAGCCTGTGACCATGAGGTTACTTAGCTTTGCTCCCCACCTCTTCCTCCTTACTTCCTGACCTCCCTCCTGAAGACCAGAGCCAGCCATGTGGACTGGCCAGGGAGGCTGAGAGCTGGGGCTTCCCAGAGGAGCCCCTGCAGACAGCATTGGCACCAGAAAACCGCTGTCCCCCTGAGCAAGACCCCTGTCTCCTTCCAGCTATGCCTCCTCCCTGGCCCTGTGGTCTAGCCCAAGGACTGAACCCACCTCTGACCCCCAGGCTGCCACAGGAAAGTTACAGAGAATGAGTTGCGCTGGCGGCATACCGAGAATGGGGGATGCCTCAGGCTTAAGACTGCTCTGCTGGACCCAGGCAGGGATGGGCTGGTGAAGCTGGGCATTTGTGCTCTAGGGCCATTCCCCTTCCTGGGCCTCAGCCACTTTGCTATACAAGGGACCCTAGTTCTCAGGGCTTGGGGTAGTGACACAGGGTGAAGTGCCTTGTGCAGAGATGGTCTGAGGCTCGGGGACTGCAATAGCCTCAGGAGGCTGCTGCCTGAGCTGACTCAGGAGGAGGTCTGGCAGAAGCACTCCAGTGCCAGGAAACTGGACACCAGAAAGCCAGAGTCCACATCCAGAAGGGGTCAGGGCTTTAGTGGGACTCGCCCACCACTCCTCCTCCTGGATGTTGATGGGTCTCCCCTTCATGCACACAAGGAGGAATGTCACTCCCTGGCCACTCCTTGGAGCACTACGGCAGCAGGAGCCAGAGCTACAGGCAGTGGTGCCATCCCCAGTCCCTGACCCACTGGCTACTTCTCAACAGGACCTCGGTGCCAGGCCACCCTATGGGTGCACAGTGGCCCAACGTCAGTGACAGTGAGCCCTGGGGAAGACGTCCACCTACAGTGCCTGCACAATGGCAGCAACTCCAACATCACTTGGTGGCACATCCTCCAGGGCAACTATACATGGAAATCTATGTTCATGGGTCAGACCAAACTCCCCAAGGGCGAACTGATCATCGAGAATGTGAACAAGAGCCACAAGGGCATATACCGCTGCCGCGTAGAAGACCAGGGGAAGACAGGGTACTCCTGTGGCACCTACCTCCGAGTGCGTGGTGAGTGGCTCCGAACCTGGCCCCAGCTCCCCTGATCCAGCGGGGGGGGGGGGGACGGACACACATTTTCCTCTCTTGTTGAGTGTTCTCTGTGATTGGAATGGGCCACTATGGCAGGAGGGGGCCTTCCAGGGTGGGGTGGGGATCCTGGGAAAGCAAGAGAGGCAGGTCTCTGAGCAGCACCCACTCCTCACAGATCCAACCCCCAGACCCTTCCTGGCTATGGGAGAGGGCACCAAGAATCGCATCATCACAGCGGAGGGTATCATCCTGCTGTTCTGTGCAGTGGTGCCTGGGACGCTGCTGCTGTTCAGGGTGAGCCCCTGAGGGACCCAAAGTCAGTGGGCAAAACCTGGGAAGCAGAACATGTCCCCCTCTTGGGGACTGTAGGAGTTACATGAGCCAACACAATGAAAGGGTTTTAAATGGTGCTGGCCCAAGGGTTGTCCTCATTGAGTCCTTTCCTGGCATCGCCAGTCGCCCTGCCCACATCCCAGAGTGTTGTCCCCAAAGATGCAGCAGAGACCAAGGAAGAACCGGGTTGAGGGCCGTCCCAGAGCCAACTGCTGTGCTGCTGCCAGAGGGCCACTATTCTTGTTTACTATTAATGTTGTCATTCATGGAGAATAAGGCAGTGCAGACAGCCAAAATGACACTAGCTTTGGACCCAGAGAGATCTGCCATATTCTGGATATGTGGTACGTCCCTTACCTGCTGGAGAAATTTCTTAGAGGCAGCTAGAAGGGTCTGGAAAGCTGTTTTCCCCCTGCTCACCTCCACAGAAACGCTGGCAGAACGAGAAGTTTGGGATGGACCCCCAGGATGACTATGAGGATGAAAATCTTTATGAGGTGAGTGAAGGTTTGGAAATGGGCAGGGTCAGGGCAGGTGAACTTTGGATCCCCCTTTGGGGCTGGTGGCAGGAGGGGCAGGGGTCCCAGGCTTCCGGGTACTATCATCCACTGCCCTGTGTCCCCCAGGGCCTGAACCTTGACGACTGCTCCATGTACGAAGACATCTCCCGGGGCCTCCAGGGCACCTACCAGGATGTGGGCAACCTCCACATTGGAGATGTCCAGCTGGAGAAGCCATGACCACCCCCACATACATCAAGAAGGCCCTGCCTGCTGTGTGCCCCCTCCAGCGCCTCCTCTCACACCCCTAGCACATTCCTTCTCCTTCTCTCTGGGAGCTCCCAGCCCCCAGTGTCCCAATCCCCACCTCAACCTCTGTGTGTGTGTGTGTGTGTGTGTGTGTGTGTGTGTGTGTGGTCTTTCCCAGGCTCCCTCCCCAGTGGGTAATGAGCCCTTAATCGCTGCCTCTAAGGGAGCTGATTGCAGCAGCTCTTACTGTCGCCCCCCTCCTCCCAGATCTGTCACGGCCACTTAGTGATAATAAATCCTTCCCAACTGCAGACTTTGGCAGGAGTCATGGATCTCATGAGGATGAGTCTCCCTCCTTCCCTGGAACCCAGGAGTCCCAGCCTACACCACCTCCTCCCCCTCCTCCTCCTCTTCTTCCTCCTCCTCCTCCTTCTCCTCTTCCTTCAGACCCAGGATTGTGTGCCTAACCCATGCCCTACTCACTGCCCACCCCTGGAATCAAGTAACCAGTCTTAAGTCTTCTCCGCACACCCCAAAACAACCAGTAAGTCCTCACCCCAGTAAAAGGGCTCCCCTCAACCATATCCCTAAGAGGTTTTTTTGAGTTAGAGTTTTGATATGTAGTTCGAGCAGGTCTTAAACTCATTATTCAGCCCAGTCTTCCCTTCAACTCAGAGATCCTCTTGCCTCAGCCTCCCAAATGTGGGGATTATAGACATGCACCATCAAACCTGGCATTACCAAAAATTTTTAACGCATTAAGTTCTGGAAACGCGGGGTGGGGGAGGGCATATCTTGTGTTCTACTACTGAATTCCCCCCCAGGCTGACTTGCCGAGGTGGATTTGGAGTCTATGGCTCTAACTTGGGGAAGGGGCAGACACTGAGAAGCCCTGTGACGAGTAACTGGCATACAGAGGTGAGCGGCAGCGATCCTGAAAGACAGTGAGGAAAGACAGCAAGTGAAAGGAGAGTGCGTCGGGAGCCACAGGGGATTGGAGACAGGGCTGTGGCGACAGAGAAGGGGAAGGAAAGGGTCAGCCAGTGGCTGACCCCGAGACGGAGGGAAAGCAACAGTTAGGTCGCGGGGAGCTCCAGGTCGGGATGCAGAAAGATGAGGTCACAGAGAGGCTGAGAGGGAGAAAGGGACGGAGGAGAAAGAGCAGCAGAGGCCAGGGAGGGAGAGACCCCACCCGAGGAAGGGCGTGAGAGGCACGGACCGAGCGACGAGGGAGGAGGAAGCGCGCTGGGAGTCCGCGGCGCGGCGCACGATGCCCCCCGGGACCGGGACGCGAGGGCTGAGAAGCCCGCGCCTGTCGCGCCGACGGACAGACGGACAAAGCCGGGGGGTCGGGCGGGGCCGGGCGGGGCGTGTACCCCGGGGAAAGGAGGAGCCGGCGGGCGGCTAGAAGGGGAAGGAAGCGGAGGTGCCGGGCGGGCTCGGGGCGCGGGCAGGAAGCGGGGAGGGGCGCCGAGGCGGGGGCCTCCGGAAAAACGCCCCAACTTCCTGCCCCGCCGAGCCAGGAAGCGGGAGCCGGGACGCAGGGCCGGGATCGCCGAGCCCGACCTCCGGCGCCCCGCCGGCCACCTCCCCGCGCCGACACCAGGTACGGGGGCCCCGCCCCGCCCGCCCTCCTCCCCTCGGCGGCGGGGGCAGCGGGGGAAGGGGGACCCGGGCCGCTGCGGGCCGCGTCCACGGCCGCCCCCGCGCGGGCCTCAGTTTCCCATCTGACCCAGGGGGCAAAGAAGTGACTCACCTTGGCCAAGTACCTAGTAGGTGGAGACGAACGGTGCGAGGCCGAGGCCAAGCGTCTTAATGGTTTCACGGAGGATGGAGGCTCACACCCATTGCACGGGCGGGGAAACTGAGGGCAGGGATCTTGAACAGACTCGCGGCACGGACACACTTTGTGTGAGACACTGCAGTTGGGATTTGAACTGGCAGGTGTTTCCCGCTAAGCCCTGTCCCCCAACCTTGAGTGTTTTATGGCTACCTAAAAAGAAAAACAAATAACGCCCGGAGCCGCTGGGGAGCTGAGTTGCAGAGAGCTTTTGAAAGGGTTTGTTTGTCTGCTACTTGTCTCGCCTTGAACTCAGTAAATAGCCCAGGCTGGCCTCGAACTTTCGGCGATCTTCCTGCCTTAGCTTCCTAAATGCTGGAATTACAGGAGCGCGCCACTGTTTCCGACTGAAAGCGTTTTAGGGAAGCGGTCCTTTGGGTCATTAATCATACCCTGGAAAGAGGATGTAGAGAAGACAGCTGGGAAGACTGAGGCTGGAGAGAGGTCATTGTGTTTTGTTTTGTTTTGTTTTGGGTTTTGTTTGGAAGTTGCTTTAATGTCAGCGGGAAAGCTATACTCAATTCCAAGATTTGGTTCTGCTCCCGTGGAAGGGGATGACAGTAATGACAGGACTGCAGAGGAAACTGATGAACGAGCTTTGGGGATTCATGCTGGTCCCCGAATTGGGGATGCAAATAGGGCGGCGAGGCTCAGCGCGAGATCAGGAGATTTGGGATCGCTTAATTCGGAGATCTCAGATTGAACCCTCTGCACCGCTGCCGGGAGATGGGGGCGGGGGGGGGGGCCGGAAGACTGACAGAGGCAGTAGAGACGCGGAAACGCCGGCCCTCCTAGACAGGCCAGAGCGGCTCTATGTGGGCAGCGTGGCGGAATAGAGCGCTAGAGAGGCCGGAGGAGGAGTAGAGTCGCCAGGGTAAAAGCCTAGCACGATCCCTGCTAGAGCGGCGAGCGGAGGAGTGGAGCTGGGTGCAAAGGTGGCCTGTGAGGCGGCTAGAGAGACTCGGCGGCGGGGGTGGGGACGTCTGGAGCCCGCGCGCGGAGGCTTCGGTTCTGGCGGCTGCAGTGGCTTCTCTTCCCACCACGGAGCAGGTGAGGGACGCGGCCTCCGGCGGACATAAGACCCTAACTCTGCAAGTCATCCCTGGCTGTGCCCAGCGCCACTTCCACTGAAGGACTTGGGGCCGGTGTAGACCCGCCACGTCTCATACCAGATTTGGGGTACGTGAAGACCAACCACTTTCTACATAGCTTACAAGGTCTGACAGATCCTCTAGGTTCTGGCTAGCCTCCCATAGAGACCTGACCTCATATAACGTGGAATTTGTATAGCTCTACAGTCCAAGGCCTATAGGGGCCCAACCCAAGGACTGAACCCACCTCTGTAGAATTGTAGATCTTGAGACCCATCACACACCTCTGTAGAACTCAGCTCCCCATTTTAGTCTCCAGAGGCTCCATAGACTGGCTTTCTCTGTAGAATCATGACTCATTTGATCGCGGTATTCTTTAGATCCATCGTGTGTCAAATAGAGTCTGGGGTTGTATAACTATTCTCGAGGCCCACAGGAGGTTCTTCAAGGATCCTAGAGGTTCTTAGAGACTGCTCAATAGCTTACAGACCCTCAGCCCTGCGTAAAACCCAGACACCCACGTGCACTCAGGTTGCACCGGGATCCCTCCTTCCATCCATGAACCTTAAACCTGTCTGTCCCTCAGAGCGTCCTGCTCACAAGTGCGCCCTCTGCTGGACCTCGGGCTTTATAGGTTGCCATCTCCCTGACAGCTTCGCTATAACTCCCCTGACAGCTTTGGAAGGACCCTCTCACCTCCCGTACTCTGAACAACACTCCCCCCCCCCCCGTCACTCCACTGCCAGTCTTCTCTGAGCCCCAGGCCTCTGTGAAACAACTCATTCCAACCTGTGTTCCCATCCAGGCCCTCGTGGCCGTGTACCTCTGACTTCTCCAGCCACAGACCTGCTGTGCCTAAGAGGTTTGATTCAGATTTTAGTTTTTTAAGGGAGCAATGGGGAAGTCCCCCAAGCTATGAAACATTGCAGTCTATTACATGCATGAAGTATAGAGCCAGGCTCTCGTGGTCTCAGTCCTGCTCTGTCCCTTGTGAGTTATGCTTCAGTTCCCAACTCTGTGGAATGGAGATAAGAATTATAGGAACCCAAGAAAATAAAAAAAAAAATAGATAAAACAAACCAGAAGGATACTAGACTAATGAAGTCATTGAGAGAATTAAATGAATTAACACCTGTAAAGCAATAATGGTGTGTCTGACACATACTAAATACACCTTAAGTGTTAGCTATTATTTCATATTATTGCAATGAGGAATAAGGAGATAATACTTAGCCGGGTACAGTGGCACACACCTGTAATTCTCGCTACTGGCGAGGCTGAGGTAGGTGGATTGAAAGTTTGAGGCCAGCCTGGGAAATTTAGCTAGACCTTCTCTCAAAATAAAATTTAAAAACTCTGGGGATGTAGCTTATTGATGGAACACTTGTCTAGCTTGTGTGAGACCCTGGTTCTGGACTGGGGATATAGCTCAGCGATATAGCACCTGCCTGGCAAGCACAAGGTCCTGGGTTTGATTCCCAGCACCAAAAAACCTCTAAAGACCCTGGGTTCCATCACTGAACTGCACAGAAAGGGGAGAATGCTTGTCAAGTACAGGGTTCGAGGCCTGGCACAGCGTTTTTTCTTTTCTTTTTGGTGTTGAATTTTATTTCATTTTGCATTGCTGGAGATGAAACCCAGACCTCATGCACGCTAGACAAGCATTCTACCACTAAGTTACACTCCCAGCTCCCCTCCTCTTTTTTTCTTTTTCTTTTTTTTTCCAGCTCCTCTCATATTCCTTTGGAATCTCCCTGCCTCGATTGAGCCTCTTTAACCCCAAGTGGGATATACGGGGCCCTCCGTGTCTGTGGGTGTGTTTTCTAGCCCAGAAGTTGTGGCTGCTGGCCTAGTGAAGGCATTTCTACCTGTTGGAGGAATGAGACTGGCATGGGGGTGTTTGCGGTGTGGGGCGTTAAGTGAGTTAATGCATAGCAAGCACTTAGAGCAATGCCTAGTACGCTGTAAGTGCTGGGTGAGTTTAGTCTTCATAATAAATAATTGCTACTTTTTTCTGCTTTTGTTTGCAAATTTATTTATGTGAACATTTAACAAACACTCAAAACTTAAAATCACCCAAGCCTGGATGATGGACAGATACACTTTATGAAAAAGAATAAAAATCATGCCTGCATGGGGGAGCCCACAAGATGGCATTTGCCAGGGAAGTGCTTATTCCACTGAGCCATCTCCCTGGCCCACAAGATGGCATTTGGACAGTCCAGAAAGTGTCATTGTTTAGTAATCATAATAAAAAATCATAGCTACTATTTTTGACTGCTGGGGCAGGAGACTCTTGCAAGAGAGAAGGGTGGATCCCAGGCAGAGAGAAATACAAATAGCTTTGGGGTGTGGGGAGCTGCCCCCTGCTGGTCAGCCCCAGGTTCACTTTCCACAGCTTCCTCCCATCCCCCAGCTCTCAGGGTATTAGTCAGACTAATCAGGGACACAGATGTTGCTGGAAAGACTGAGGAAGATGCGGCGACTAGAGGGGAGACAAACATGGTAGAGACAGAGATGAGAGAGAGAAGGGAGCGGAGAGAGATCAGACATAGCCAGAGTCAGCGGGGAAAGGACAGGCACAGACAGGAAGGAGGAAGAGCTACAAGAGGCAGAGATGGGAGAGGACAGGGAAGAGAACTGAGGAACCAGGGAGAAGAGGCAGTCTCCAGACAGCATGGGGGGGTTGGCAAGACAAGATAGCATGGAAGGAGGGAGATGTGCACATCTTGGGGGTAGGCTGTCCAGGTCTCCTTGTTTGGGGGGCCAGAAATCAGGAAAGATAGGTGGTACCTGAAGAAGAGAAGGACCTATGAATTGGGGACATTGGGTCCCCCAGAGGTGGTTCAGTGTTTTGTTTTCTTTCATGGAGAGGGTTGGGGGTTGGGGGTTTGCCATTTGACTTCCTGTCACAGGAAGCGGGGCTGGTGGGTTCAGAGGCAACATCCTGGCCCAACCCTGTCATAGATGGGAGGAGAGCCCCCCACAGCCCAGCTTCTCCTTCCGACTTACCCTTTAACCTGTCTGTTCACTCTGCTTGTCTGGAGCCTCTGCTCTCTTGGGGACCAATGCCAGCCCCTTGGTCCCTCCTCCTTTAGGGAGCCCAGATTGCCTGTTCTCACCCACAGTCCTCTTGGGGACCCGGCTTCTGGGCCTGCAGCCTACACCGCCTGCCAGGCTTCAGTCCTTGGGCTCCCCACCCCCTGGCTGGCCTCTGAAGGGCTCTTTGTGCACCACAGAGGACCCATTGAGTGCAGAGGCTGGGTGGGGGTGGCTGTTTACTCACCTTCACACCTGGGCCAGGAATCTATGAGTAACTGCCTCTGTGTGCTCCTCCCGCTTCTCTTAGCTGTCCTAACCGCAGCCCCTCCTCTCCCCAGCCCTGCAGAGCCCTGGAGATGGAAGACGTCGCCCCTCGGGCGGTGAGTGTAGACAGCAGGCGAGGAACAGGGTTCAGTGGGCGTGGGGTCTGACAGCTAGGGAGATCCGTGGACTGAATCCTCCCCTTCCACAGGCCCCAGGGCTCCCCCGGCCTGGCCTTGTACCTGTCAGCATCATCGGGGCTGAGGATGAGGATTTTGAGAATGAGCTGGAGACGGTGAGCAGAGATAGGGTGGGAAGGAGTCTGTCCTGTCCCCAATACTGTCCCTCCTGCTGCAGGGTCCCTTCACCCTCAGCTGTGCCCCCTCTGCCCATCTCTCCTTTTCCTAGTGCTGACTTTCTTTTCCCACCCTCAGTTCCCCATCCAGCCTGGCTTCCCACCCTTCTGCCTCTAGCCCCAATTTGTCACTACCCCCTGCCTGGATCCTCATTCCTTTTCTTCTAACTTCTGCCACTGATGTTAACACCACATCTCAGACGTTCTCTCCAATGACCTGCCCTTACTGTCACCTTGATGGCAGATAGATGTGTCACCTCTTCCAAGACCTTCCCTAGCTTGGATCCATTTGGAAGGTGCTAGGGACCAAGCAGGGTGAAGCCCAAGGCTCCTCCTCTACCCCTGGGCACTCAGCTTCCCTTTCCACACCCAGCACTCAGAGGAGCAGAACAGCCAGTTCCAGAGCCTGGAGCAGGTGAAGCGGCGCCCAGCTCACCTCATGGCCCTCCTGCAGCACGTGGCCCTGCAGTTCGAGCCAGGACCTCTGGTGAGGGGTTGGCTAGGGAGACCAGGGAGGGCTGAGGCTGGGGTAGGCCAGAGCTTTCAGAGGGCTCTACCAACGAGGGCGGCCTGGACCGGTCTGGGAGCCAGCTCCAGAGCACAGCTCGAGATCTAGGAAGAGTGGCACAGGAGAGACAAGTACACTATGTGAGCTAGACGAGAGTTTGAGGGCCCCGTGTAAACAGCAAGCCCCACCAGGACCCACTTGCGCACCAGGGCCATGCAGACAGCAGCAGAGAACCCAGCAGTGTGGCCGAAACCAGGCCCTGTCCCTTCCCACCCGGAGCAGTGTCAGTGAGGGTACCCTTCCCGTGAACCCTGGAGCAGGACCAAGCAAAGCCTTCTTCTCAGGTATCACCAGGCAGCCATTCAGGGCTGGTGCTTGGGAGAAAGCTGTTAGTGATCCCAGGCCTAGATGGCACCTAAGCCTTAATTCAGAAGTGAAGAAACCATTACAAGCAGCCCATCAGGCAGGAAGGATGTAATCGTTCACCCAGAAACTTCCTGCATGAGGCAGAAAATACCTGGGCGTGGTATATGCAGGACCATGCAATGAGAAACACCTGCAGGGAGCTGGGGAGATAGCTCAGTGGCATAAATGTCTGCCTGGCAAGCAGAAGGTCCCGAGTTCAATCCCTGCTACCAGAAAGAAAAAAACAAAACAAAACAAACAAACCTGCAGGCTCTAGAAGACTTGAGTTAGGAAAGAGAAGCCACAGCATTGGCTAATGAGGTTCTGTAAACAAGGACCTCATCCCAGAAAGACCCAGTACAGCCAAGAGCCAGGGGATATCCAGAGCATTGTGCTGTGGTAAGTTCACACCAGATCCCCCCAGAAAACTGGAAGACTGAAAGAAACAGCGGGGAGGTTATCTGGGGTGCAGAAAACGCACTTTGACCCATAAAGGCTGGTGATCCTGATGCCAAGCTTCAAGAACTGGCAAAAAAGGGGAGGGGAATACCAATCTGTCCCCTGTCTGCATTCTAGAACACTACTAGGCCTCCATGTATAGCCCTCATCTAGTGACACAAGAATCAGAAGCTACCCCACTCATAAACTTTCAAGCTCCTTGTGTTTCTAGGCAGTAGGGAATAGCAGAGACAGACTGCTGACATTTGGAGTCCAACTCTGCCACTTACTAGTTGTGTGGCCTTGAACAGGCTTCCTAAGCTCAGTTTTCTATCTGTAAAATGGGAATAAGGGTGGTCCCTATGGGTGAGCAGGTTAATTAGCGTATGTCAAGCTTTAGAACTGTATCTGATATATACAAACCCTCAATATAGCTAGTAGGAAGAGTAGGAGTGGTAAAGAGGACCACAAAGAACCACACTGAAGGGCATAAAATTAGGAAATGCTCATAATAGCAGCCCTGAGGAGACTGCAAGGGAGACAGGACTTGGATGATGGGAGTAGCGATGAGGGAGGGCTTCTCAGAGGAGGTGGCTTGGGGTAGCTTGAGGGCTGGGAGGGAGGAGAGCCACATTTGTCGCTTCAGCTTTGCTGCCTGCACGTGGACATGCTATGCTCGCTGGGCCCCAAGGAGGCCAAGAAGGCTTTTGTTGACTTCTACCACAGCTTCCTGGACAAGACTGCGGTGAGACTCCTTCAAGCCACCCCTGTCCCCAACTCCTTGGTGGCCCTGGGGAATCACACTGTGCCTCCCAGCCTCTGAAGGCTGAGGCACTATGAAGGGAGTCCCGGCCTGTGGTGACCGTCAGCCTTGGCCCTCAGCATCCTCTGTCAGAGCCTCACCCCCACAGGCTTCCTGGGCTGCTCCTCCCTCCCAGAGACTCCTCTCATTCCGGTCTTTCCCCTGAGCAGGTGCTTCGGGTACCAGTCCCTTCCAGTGTAGCCTTTGAACTCGGTAAGAACTGAGGAGGAGGGAGGGCCTTTGGCAGGGCTTGCCTCCCAGAAAGCCTTGGCTAGAAGCCAGGATTCTCTCAGTTTTTCTTGACAGTGACAGCCTAAGAAAAGGTGGCTGTCAGAGTTCATGGGTGACAGTGGAGGAGCCTATGGTCTGAACTGGGGGATCCAGGCCCACTGAACTGGCCCCCAGCAGCACATGTGTCCCTGCAGACCGCACACGGCCGGATCTCATCTCTGAGGACGTCCAGCGGCGGTTCCTGCAGGAGGTGGTGCAATTCCAGCAGGCAGCTGTGAGCCGGCAGCTGGAGGACTTCCGCTCCAAGCGACTCATGGGCATGACTCTGTGGGAGCAGGAGCTGTCCCAGCTAGAGGCCTGGGTCGGGCGTGACAGAGCCAGCTATGAGGCCCGGGAGCGGCATGTGGCTGAGCGGCTGCTGAGCCACCTGGAGGAGATTCAGTGAGTGGGCGGTGAGGGGGCTGTCACTGTGCCACGCCAGCACGTTCCATCCCCAGTTTGCTAGTGTTGGTGGGGGTGGGAGGGGGCCTTTTGTAGCATTTAGGCTCTCCCCCTTCCTTGGGTTCTTCCATCCCAGCTTTGGAGCTCCCTTGCAGTTTCTAGGTCTTCTTCATGGTCTGTACAGTGACCCTGGGCTCTGCCACTGTGTCACACTCCTTTCTTTCCCTGCAGACATACCATCTCTAATGATGAAGACAAGAGGTGAAGGGGTGGAGACTGGTAGGGAAAGGGGGTTGGTTCCCTGGGACTCCCCGCCCCCATCCTGTGGAACTTTCCCCTCTTCCCCAGAGCCTCGGGAAGTGGTTGTGGGATGGGGAGGTAGAGGCACGTGTTCATGTCCCTGCAAGTGTATGATGGAGCCCTCGCTGTTCACTCTGTGCAGTGCTGCTGTGGTCACCGCCATCAGCCTTTACATGCGTCACCTTGGGGTCCGGACCAAGAGCGGGGATAAGAAGTCGGGGAGGAACTTCTTCCGGAAAAAGGTGCTGACCAGATTTGGCCCTTTCTTCTCCAGACACCCCCTGGGGGAACTGTGAGACCTGGACACTTGGGGTCCTATTCTGCTTTGTGCATCTTGGAAATGCTTCCGTCCCCCTGCCCCATCTCCTGCAGGTGATGGGGAACCGGCGGTCAGATGAGCCTCCCAAGACTAAGAAAGGACTGAGCAGTATCCTAGATGCTGCCCGCTGGAACCGAGGAGAGAACCAGGGTAAGGGAGCCCTGGCCTGGGTCCCATCCAACCCCTCCCTAGTCTATACTTGGCTTACTGTCCCTCTTGTTACAGCTCCAGATTTTCGACACCTCAAAAGCGAGGTTGATGGTAATTACCTGTAGTCATCCATCCTGGGACCTTAGAGGAGAGGGGTTTGGGCCTGGACCCCCGGGTCGGAGGAGGAGGGCTGGGGCCTGGACCCCTTGGTTTGAGGGAGGGGGCTCTCCTGTGATGGGGAAGGGAGGCCAGAATGCATACCGTGGTTGTAGATTGGATTCACGGCTCTCATTTCCCCTCCTCCTCCCCCTCCCTCTCCCTTGCTGTCTCCCCAGCTGAGAAACCAGGCCCTATAGACCGGAAGGGAGGCCTGGGGGCCTCCTCTCGGGACCGGAATGTAGGGGGGCCTGGCCAGGACACATCTGGAGTGTCTGTGCACCCTCTTTCTGGGGACAGTCCAGACCGGGAACCTGGTGAGTTTTCAGGCCCAGGCAGAAGTTCTGTTGTTGGGGGTAAGTCCTCTCCTTCCTCCTCCCCTTGCTGGGCTGGGTCTTCCCTCCGGGTGCCTTTCCACCCAGAGCCTCTCAGTGGCAGCCGCTCATTTCTGTAAACATTATGGCCCCCAGGGGTGACAAGCCCCACAGCTGATGTCACTTCTCACACTCCTCAGAGCTATGTGGCCCTCAGCCCCTTGCTTCTCCTACAGCTGCTTGGCCTGGCGTGGGTTCAGATATCTACTCTGAAGCTCACCACATTACAGTTCGGAAATCACTTATCTCTCTGAGTCTTATTTTTCTCCCCTCAGAGAATGAATGAGTACAGAGGCTCTCCTCCCTCCCTTCTCTGGTTCAGTGATACCTGTGGGGGTACCCTGGTTCTCGAGCACCTCCATCTGTTGGCCCCAGCCGCCCCTGCCGCAGTCTCTGTTATCTGAACATCTGTCTGTCTGTTCCGCTTTGAAGTCTGGTTGGAGCCACAGCATAGTGTCTGCCAGACAGCGGGTGCTTTAGCCACCCATTCCACAGCTGGGGACACTGAGGCCCCAGAGGGTGGGCCTTGCCATCCCAGGAGTCTTCTGCCAGCCTCCCACCCGTTTTCCTCCTGCAGGTGTAGATGCCCCGCTGGAACTGGGGGACCCGCCCCCACAGGGCCCCATGAGCCTGGAACCTTTGGTGCCCCCCGAGAGCACAGAGGAGGGTGCAGAGACAGAGAGGTGCCCGACTGGGGTGCTGTGGGGGTGGGGTGGGATGTGCTCAGCTCCTGGGGCTGGGGAGGGTGTGTGGTGTGGAAGTCGCTGCTGCCGTTGTGCACCGCCTGTCCCAAGCCGCGTCTCCCGCTGCCTGTCCCCTTCCGCTTTCCTCTGTGCCTTCTTTGCTCCTTTCCTTTGTCCTTTTCCCTTCACTCTTTTCCTTTCTCCTCCTTCCTTTCTTCTCCCCTTTCCTCTCCCTTGTTTGCTGCCGTTTCTCCTCTCTTCTCTTCCCTGTGCCCTGACCCCAAGGGTGCCCCCGTGCCAGCCTTTCCTGCGGGGTTTCCTCCCTTTCTCTCCTCTCTCCCTTGCTCCTTATTCCCCTCGTTCTCCCAGCCTCTTATTTTCTCCCCCTTCTCCCAGTCCCTGCCTGCCCGCCTGGCTCCTGCTACCAGTGTTCTTCATCCCCTTCTCTGCTCTGTACCCTGGGGGCCCTGTCCCCCTCACAGTTGGGGGGCAGGCTCTGCCCCCTGCCTGTCCTCGTGCGCTGCTTTGGGGGCCCATTGGTGGGGTTGGGGGTGGATCGGTTCCCTCTGGCCCACCTCTGACCCTGTGCCCTCTCTCCCCAGAAAGTGGAAGAGGTGGGTGCCTGGGCCCTGGGTTGGGGGAGGGCTAGCCCCTCCCCCATGTCTCCCAGCCCCCTCCCTCCCCATGGCCACCCCCTCCCCTTTACCCCCTTCGAGGGGTGGGTGGGGACATCACCCTCCCAGTTGAAGAGCTAAGTATCAAAACCCTCCTTTCCTCTGTCCCTGTCCCCCTACCTCAGGGAAGGGAGGGGGTTCTGTGTACCACAGTGGGTCCCTGATTCAGTACCACCCCTGCTCCACCTAACTGCCCAGCAACCCAAAAATCCCACTGCTCCTGACTCTTCTCTCTCTTCTGTTGCATGTTTGATCTTGGTCTTGGATACTGTCCCTGTCCCTGTCCTGGTCTTCTCTGTCCCTGTGCTGGTCTATTTGTCCTGGTCTTCTCTGTCCCTGTCCTGGTCTCCTCTGTCCCTGACCTTGTCTCCACCATCCCTATTCCTGTCCCTGTCCTGGTCTACCTGTCCTTGTCTCTGTCTTGGCCTCTGCCTCTGTCCTTGGCCTTGGGGTCCAGGCTATCAGGGCGTCTGGGGCGCTCAGAGAGCCTGCGGGTGAGTGACCGCCGCCGGCCTTCCCGGGGCAGCCTCGGGGCCAAGGGCCGGGGTGGGGGCCGCTCCCGGAGCGACGTGGACATGGACCCCAGCTCCGCCACAGCTGTGCTTGGCCCTGCCCGACGAGCCACGTACGTCAGCCCTTACCCCATGTACTGAGGCAAACTGGAAAGTCGGGAGGGGGTTGTTGCCAGAGTCACAGAAAAGCAGGTAGCAGTCACTGAGGACCAGCTGTACTTGTGGGCCTTGGAGGAGGATGGGGTGGGAAACTTCTGTCGAGAGATTTAGGGGCTGGTCCACCCTGGGGGCATTAAATGCCAAGGCCACAGAGAGAGATTGACACTGAGGAGCACAGTGCTCCTCCTTGGGGTATCCCCAACTGGGGCCCTAGCAAAGCCTCTGTCCACAGCCCGGAGCCTGGAGATGAAGGGGAGCCAGGGCGGTCAGGACTGGAGCTGGAGCCAGAGGAGCCCCCTGGCTGGCGGGAGCTCGTTCCTCCAGACACCCTGCTCAGCCTGCCCAAGAGCCAGGTGAAGCGGCAGGAGGTCATCAGCGGTGAGTGCCACCCCCGGGCCCTCCTGTGGCCAAGGATGCAGTCCAACTCTGGCAGAGGTGGCGACAGAGACAGGAGGTGGCCCTTCTGCTGTTGATTTACCCTGGAGAGCTTCAGAGGGCAGCTAGTTTCCAGCAGGGGACAGCTGGTTATGCACATTGTTGAACAGCCGCGAGATGGAGCGTGAATGGCAGAGGGACACTCCCAAGCAGTTTGTAGCCAGGAAAACGATCCTGATACTGGGTCAGAGAGATAGCTCAGCAGCAGAAGCGCCTGCCTGGGAAGTGCAAGGTCCCCAGTTTGATCTCTGGGGTAGCTAAATAAATAAATGAAAACAATAATCCTGATATTGAGAGCAACAAATGGGGCGGGGAAGAGTATAGTAGGGTATTTGACTAGCAGGCGCAAGACTCTAGGTTCTCTCCCCAGTACCAGAAAAAAAAAGGGGAAAAAAGCCAGAAACAGTATGTGCAAATTACATTTTTTAAACTGGGCATGTTGGTGGATGACTTATCCTAGCACTTGGGAAGTGGAGGCGGGAGGATCATGACTTAGGTGCCAGCCTAGGCCACATAAGAGCCTGCCTGAAAAAAACAAAAGATGTATTTCTAACCAGGCGCAGTAAGATTCGTATACTCATCATCTCAGCACTTAGGAGGCTGAGGCAAGAGTATTGCTCTGTGTCAAGAAGATCCTGTCTCAGAAAACCTAACAGGGTCGGGGAGATAGCTCAGCGGCACAGTGCTTATCAGGCAAGTTTGAGGTCCTGAGTTCAATTCTTGGTAACAAAAAAGGAAAAAACAAAACAAAACAAAAATACCTGAATAAGTGAACAGACAAACAAATCAAAAGTGGTTGTGAAGCCACAATAAGCTTTATGAAATAGTCGCTGTAGTGTGGACGCAGAGGACAGCCTTTTCCTGGGATTGGTACTATTAGTGTGATGGTAGTGCTTTAAGGACAGAAGAGTTCTTTCCCACGGCGGGGTTTGGGGAACTAATATTACCAATGCTTGCTTCTGGGTGGGAAGACAATGGGTACATCACTTCCATGTTGGGTTTTTTCTGTGCCTCCTAATTGTGTAGGAGAGGAATGGTAGGAAAGGTAGAACAGCTTGGAAGCTTGCTTCAGTGTGTGTTTATAGGTTGTTCAGTGGTAAGAAAAGTGCTCATTTAGAAATTCGGGTGCTGCTTGGTGAGGTGGTGTACGCCTGTAACCCCAGCACTCAGGAGGCGGAGGCAGAGGCAAGGCGCTGGTATGAGTTTGAGGCTAGCTCATAGTGCAAGGTATTTTCAGGGCTACCCTGAACTGCCTAGCGAAGCCCTGTTTCAAAAAGATGAAAACCGGATCCGGGGAGATGGCTCAGTAGAATAAGCGCTTCCCTGGCAAGTGCAAGGGCCTGAGTTCAATCCCCGGTTCTGCCAAAAAAAAAAGACGAAAACCAGCTGGGCAGAGGCAAAGTATCTCCTAGCACACATGCGCACTAGCGTGCACTGCACCCCAGCACTGCAAAGAGGAAGAAAAAAAGTAAACAAAAAACTTTTAGGGCCCTAAAGAAATACTTTTTCAGTTACAACTCTTTTTGTTTTGTTTGTTTGTTTGTTTGTTTGTTGAGACAGAGTCTCTATGTAGTCCAGGCTGGCTTCAAACTCAAGACCCTCCTGCTGGGCTAGCAGGCGTGCAGCACTGCACACAGCTAATTGGCTCTTTTTTTTTTTTTTCTTTTTGGCGGAACCAGGGATTGAACTCAGGCCTTTGAGCTTGCCAGGGAAGCGCTTATTCCACTGAGCCATCTCCCCGGCCCCTAATTGGCCCTTTTTTATCACTGAAATTTCAATGATCAGCAAACTTGAACCACTGGTCACCCTAGCTGACTGCCTGTGCCAGAGGGAAAGGCAGTGGGTTGAGGACTCTTCAGTGGCTTCTTAAGGGGAAAACGACCAACCTGAAGAAAGTGTACCCTCCTCCAACTTCTAGGAGTGTCCTTCACCCCCTTGGGCCCTCGTATTCTCTTAGCCCACCTCAAAGGCTAGATCCAGGGTTTGCACCCTCCCCAGTGATGCTTCCTGCTTCGGGTCCCCACAGAGCTGCTGGTGACGGAGGCAGCCCATGTGCGCATGCTGCGGGTGCTGCACGACCTCTTTTATCAGCCCATCGCAGAAGGAGGCTTCTTCCTCCTGGATGACCTGCAGTACATCTTCCCCAGCCTAGACGAGCTCATCGAGGTGCACTGTGAGTGCCAGACCGTGACCCTTCCACTCCCCACTGCTGCCTCTCCCTACTTGAAGGCTGCCCTGGAACTGGAGTCCAGCCTGTTTTCCTTGAGTGTCCCCCATAAGCAACATCTGGGGACCACCCATCCTGCATCCCCAGAGCTCACTCCCGGGGAGCAGGACCCACTATCCAAGCACAGGAGGGCTAGGAGACAAGCTCATTGGCCTGAAGGACTGGAGACAGCCACCTGCAGCCTGACCCCCGCGACCCCCACCAGCTCGCACCTTGGTACCAAAGTCTTCCAGGCCCTCATAGGTACCCCCTTTCCTCGCTGACCCCCATAGCCCTGTTCCTTGATCATCTGATGAAGCGGAGACAGGAAAGTGGCTACCTCATTGAGGAGATTGGTGATGTGCTGCTGGCCCGGGTGAGGGTGCCCTGCTCAGCCCCTGCCCCTCCTCCAGCCCAGGACCTGTCCACTTTCCACTCCAATCCCAGGGTTCTGGGGCTGGGACTGTCCTTTAGGCTTCCGTCCCTGCTCCAGACTGATCTTGCCAGTCCCATCTGAGACATTCCATGGCCTGAATCTTGCTGTAGTTTGATGGTGCCGAGGGCTCCTGGTTCCAGAAAATCTCCTCCCGCTTCTGCAGCCGCCAGTCATTTGCCTTAGAGCAGCTCAAAGCCAAACAGCGGAAGGAGCCTCGCTTCTGTGCTTTTGTGCAGGTGAAGTGGGGCTTTGGCTGCAGGGTCCCAGGGTCCCAGGGGGAGGGACTGGGCACTGGATTCCAGGGGCCAGCATCCCACTCCCGCACTGGTTTCCCCTCAGGAAGCTGAGAGCCGCCCGCGATGCCGCCGCCTACAGCTAAAGGACATGATCCCCACTGAGATGCAGCGGCTGACCAAGTATCCCCTGCTGCTGCAGAGCATCGCGCAGAACACAGGTACCACAGCCCACAGCCCACACCATCCCTCCCGGCTCTGCGGCCCTTAACTACAGCCAGAGGGCAGGAGCCTTTAGGGTCGGGGCTCACTGGAGCTGCTTGCTCCCTTGCCTGCAGAAGAGCCCAAGGAGCGAGAGAAAGTGGAGCAGGCAGCTGAGTGCTGCCGGCTCATCCTGCACCATGTCAACCAAGAAGTGCGTGACACGGAGGACAAGCTGGTGAGCAAGTGTGGCACTGGCCAGGGTGGGGTTGGGTGGGGGCTGGGACCATTCTAACCTTATCCACAGGCCAGACAAAGCCCTTATTGATGCCTTCAGGACAACTGAGTGTCCAGGGGTCTCCCAACCCTCAGCATCTCCCCTAGTCCCCCTCTCAGGTCACTGAGAATCCAAGTGTCTTGTCATCTGGGCCTCAGCAACTCCCCTTCAAGGTCACTGAAGGTCAGGCCTGCCCTCAGCATGTCCCTCAGAAGTTAACCTTGGTTCTCAGCTTCCCTGGCCTGGAGTCCATGAAGGTCAGCCTCCCTGTTAGGTTTGTCCTCTTAACACCCCATCTCTGCCTCAGCGGCTCAGGGATTATCAGCGGCGCCTGGACTTGTCCCACCTACGGCAGAGCAACGACCCCATGCTGAGCGAGTTCAAGGTAGGCCTGCTGGCCTTCCCCTCCCATCCCCACTGCCCACCCCCACTCTCCGGGGGATTCTGACACACTGGAGGGCACGCAGGGAGCCTCTGCAGCCACATTGTTTCCAACCAGGTGTCCATCACGACTCCTGACTCCACTCTCCTGCCCCACTGGTAGGACTGGTCCCCCGTGGCCCTGAAACTGTCCTGCCTACCACTCTTCTCTCGCTTCCCTCCCTGTCGCCTTGGCTGACCATCGCTCCCTCCTGTCCCCAGAATCTGGACATCACCAAAAAGAAGTTGGTCCATGAGGGCCCACTGACGTGGCGGGTGACCAAGGACAAGGCTGTGGGTGAGCACCAGGGTGGCAGCAGGGATGGCGTGGGTGCGTGAGGTGTGGTGTGGGCAGTGAGGTGTGAGCGCTCGCCGGCCGTGCCCCTCCAGAGGTCCACGTGCTGCTGCTCGGCGACCTGCTGCTGCTGCTCCAGCGCCAGGATGAGCGGCTGCTGCTCAAGTCACACAGCCGGACGCTCACGCCCACACCGGACGGCAAGACCATGCTGCGGCCTGTGCTGCGGCTCACTTCTGCCATGACCCGAGAGGTGGCTACTGGTGAGAAGGCGGCGGCGTGGCCAGCATGGGCCATCTGAGCGCAGCTGCCCTGTGGAGTGGGGAGGAGAACCCTGGAGGGAGCCAGGGAGCCTGCTCGGAAGGAGGGGTGGCTGTCGGTGAGGTTAAGAAGGGACCCACTAGGTTGGCAGAGGCAGAGGTGGGCAGGGATAGGAGGGAATGAAACCTGGGCTGGTTTGCCCTGAGCTGTGGCCTGCCCTGATTGGTATTTTGGTGGCTGCTTGGGAATTTTAGGGTGCAGGGCTGGAAGCTGGGAGCCCAGGCATGGAGGGATGGGGAATACAGTGCTTAGAAGTGGCACCAGGGCCACTGACGGGGGGAAACTTGTTGGTGGGGCTTTGGGGCATCTGTGGGCATGGTCAGCCCCTGGGGCCTTGCTACCTGGCAGGACCAGAATGGGGAGGCACAGGGAAAGAGCATCCGGGCCTGGGAGATGGACAGTGAGGGGTGAGTGGTAGCTCTGGGGCTTCCCAGCCTCCAGTCTACTTAGGAAGGGGTGCACACTGGGAGCCCTGGCCCTGAGCTCCTTCTCCTTCCAACAGATCACAAAGCTTTCTACGTCATTTTTACCTGGGACCAGGACGCCCAGATATACGAGCTGGTAGCACAGACAGTGTCGGAGCGGAAGAAGTAAGGGGTCCATGGGGACAGTGTGGGCGTGGGAGGCTGCACAGTTCGGAGGTGCTGACCTGCTGGGGCCTGCATCCCGGCCTGTCTCCCCAGCTGGTGTGCCCTCATCACCGAAACCGCTGGATCCCTGAAAGTCCCTGCCCCTGCCTCCCGCCCTAAGCCCCGGCCCAGCCCAAGCAGGTGAGGGGGACCAGGGAGGGAGCTGAAGGGATGAGGCAGCTTCCCTGTATATCCTTAGACCCCAAGCCCCAGTCCCAGCTCAGTGTGTGACGCGGGTGTGCACGCAGCACCAACCCCACCATGGCTGCCTGTCTCCCTTCTCTAGGCCTGTCTTCCAGTGTCTGGGCCTCTTTGTTTCCCTATCCCCTGCCTTCAGCTCTGTCTCTGCCTCCCGACTATACCTCCTCCCCACGTCCAGCTGTCTCCCTGCCCTGGCTGCCCCCCAGAGCCAAGGGTGCGGGATCACCAAGCACTTCCTTCCCCAGCACCCGAGAACCCCTGCTCAGCAGCTCTGAGAATGGCAACGGTGGCCGAGAGGTGCCTCCAGCCGATGGTGAGACCGGGGGAGCGTTGGATGGGGAATCACAGGTGATGGGAGGTGTGTACAGTATGCCCAGTTGGATCTGAGTACCTCGTTTGCCCACCCAGCCCAGACTGAGAGACTACTCAGCGACCTCCTGCCCTTCTGCAGACCAGGCCCTGAGGGGCAGCTTGCGGCCACGGCCCTACAGAAAGGTAGCCTTGCCCCGCCCCTTCCAGGGCAGCCACCTGCCAACCAGGCCTCTGTTCCAACTCCAAAAAGGCACCCTATTTCCAGTCTTTATGTCCAGCCACCAGAAAAGAGATGCATAGAGCCCACCCAGCCTGTGCCATCACCCTGGGTGGCCTAAACCCTCTACTTCCTGCATCCCTAGTCCTGAACGCAGCCTTTCTGTTGGCGGTGCCCTGCTACCCCATCCCAGCCCTGGCCCCAGCCTCACCCTTGCATCCTCCTCACCACCAGGCCCTTGGCTTCTGCCCTTCCTGTTTATCCTGGACCCCAGCAGAAGCCCCTGCCTCTCATGACTCTACTCCCCTTGTCCCTGGCCAGTGCTGTCCCTGAAGCAGCTCCTGTTGCCCACGGAGGAAGACAGCGGTGCGGGGCCTCCCTGTGACAGGGATGGGGTGCCAGGTGGTGACCCCTTGGGCCCTGCGCAGACCCAGGAAGTTCAGGAGAACCTGCTCAGCCTGGAGGAGGCCATAAAGCAGCTGGAGGTGTGGCTGGGGGAGGGAGTCCTGGGTATGCTGGGGCGACCAGGAGGCCTCCCTCACTGATGACCCCCTCCCCACCAGGACTTAGAAGAGGAAGTTTGCCGCCTGCGGCCCCTCCTGGCTCAGCTCGGGGGGAACCCTGTCCCTCAGCCTGGCTGTACATGAGGCCCCTGCCCACGCAGGTGAGTGTGGGGAGCTGGACCGGGCGCTGCTCAGAAAGGACAGTATGGGCATCTGTGTCTCAGTCCCATCTCACTCTCCCTCCTGTCTCAGTTTCTGCTTCTGTCAATTTGTTTCTCAGCCTCTTCTACCTAGTTGGCTAACTGACTCCCGATCTCTGTTTCCCTTTCTTTTGCACCTCCCAGGCCTTTCAAAAGGAAGAGTTGAACAGGGGAGAGGAGGAGAGGGGGCTCCCCACCCCAACACTGGTGGTGGCAGCACCTCACACCCCAAGGACCTGAGGAGACAGCACCAGGGCGAGGCTCCCAGGAGGGCCACGCCTGGGAGGAGCCAGCTGCGGTCCCTGCCTCCTTTACCTGCCTCACACAGCCTTCCTGCCCTCCTGCCTTCTGCTTGGGGGACTCAGGGCTTCATTTCGGGGGTTCCACCATGACCCCCATTTCCCTGGCCATCTCAGTATTGCCTGTAGAGGCCACCCTTCACACACCCCCAAGTGCCTTCGCTGTTTTTATACCCTGAATTGGAGGTTTATTTTTTAATATATATTATCTAAGCAGAGATCTGTGTGTGAGAGTAGAGAGGGGCTCAGCGGGGTGGCTGACACACACACACCCCCAATTCCTGAGCCTGACCACGCGGTCTCTTGGTGTCTTGCCTCTTTTCCCTTGTTCATTTTCATTCTTGTGTTCTAAAAATTCCCTCTCCAGCACCCACACACACACACTGGATGTGCACAGCGCCCCCCCCCCCAGCCTCCACTGAAGCCCCAGTCATCTGAAACACTGGGGGACCCCAGTCTCACTTTCTGTTCTTTTATTTTTGTAGTAAACTCTGGAGGTGGCTGTGGGAGTTGCGGGGAGCTAGTGGCCAGGGGGCCCCTCCTGGGTGGGGGCTGGGGGCGGGATTATTGCTCTGAGCTCCCTGTCCCCAGGGGGGCCTGTGTGGGAGGGTACCAGAATGGGGCCGTTATAGGGGTCAGAGGCACGGCCACACAAACACATAGGTCACAGCAACAGGGGCAGGCAGGGAGGCTGAGCGCCATATTGCACTTCAGGAGTGGGGCCTGGCAGGGACCCCTCAAACGAGGCTGGCCGCTATCAGATTCCTTTCCCACTCTATGGAGCTAGAGGTGAGACCCCCAGTCAGGCTGGGAAAGGAGGACACAAGGCCCTGGGCGGCTGTCACGGCTGGGCCTGCCTTGGGCTGGCACAGAGGGCAGACTGGGTGGGTGAGGCTCCGAAGATGGCCCTCCTGGTCCCTGCCTCGGCAGAATCCATCACCCCACATTGGCTCAGCTGCCAGTACTCCCTTTGCCAGCCTTGGCCTTGGGGGGTACTGGGAGGCCCTCATCACCCTCGCTGTCAGAGCTGCAGGCGCTGACGTCAGTAATCTCAAGCTCCGAGTCGCTGTCGTCCTTCCCGCCCAGCGTGGGCTCTGGACCCCCAGCCCCTGGCAGTGCCAGGCGAGGAGCTGCTGCCAGACCTGAGGGGTGCTCAGGGTTCAAGCTTTCTCCAGTCGCAGCCAGCAAGGGTGCAGCTGTGGGGCCTCCCCCAGCCCCTACAGAGGGCAAGTGGCCCAGAGAATTGGCAAGAGGATTGGGGTAGAAGTGGGGGGGGTAGAGAGATGGGGGCAGCTTGGGGAAGGGGCCGGTGAAGTATGGGTTGAAGTTCCAGGGGCACTCGGGAAAGGTGCGGCTGTAAGGACCGAGCAGGCCGGGGGGCTTGGAATAGCTGGTGGCACCTGGGGGTTGGGGGGACATGGCTGGGTCAGGCCCGAGCTCCTTTGCCGTGGGGCCTGCCAGTGTGGGCTTGGTTGGCAAAAGGTGCTGCCTCCTGCAGTGTTCCACTCCGTGCTCCCTGTTGTCTTTCCCAGGGGTGTCTCAGCACTGCCCCTGCTGCCCACCCACAGCTCCCATCTCCCAGCTGTCCACTGTACCTTCCTCCCCACCCCACACCCACAGGCTTTAAGTACAAACACACACACACAGCTTGGCCCCAGGCTCCCTTCAGTCTGTCCCACGGTTTTCTGGTTCTCATCCTTCAAAGTCCCTCAAACATGCAGGTAGCTCCGTTACCCTTGAAGCCCTCAGGTCCTTACCAGAGCCCAAGAATGGGAAGGGGCTGTCCAAGCGCAGTTTGTCTGTCTCAGGAGTGAATAGGGGTGTCCGGGCCCCTGGCTCTCCGAGGCGTGGGGTGGAGAACAGGGTCTGCAGGGTCTGGAAGGGGTGGGGGAGGTGGTGCTGCTCACGCTGCACCCTCCTGGGCATTCCACGGCAGGGGGGTGAGATGCCCCATTTCCAGTTCTGGGACCCAAGGATCCAAACTCACCTCAGGGGTGAGGGGAGGAGCATCTGGTCCAGGGGCACCCCCAAAGGGACCAGGGGTCAGCAAGAGTGGGGATCCAGTGGCGGCGGCCGCCACATCCAGCAGTGGGTAATTGACAAGCACGACTTTGCTGAAGTTGAATTTGTAGGTGAACCTCTTCCCTTTGGTCTTGTGCAGAATGCGCTTATTGTAGTAGTAACTGTGGAAAGAGAGGTTGTGGGGTTCTGGGAGGGGCAGGAGAGCCCTGGGTGTTCTAGGTAGCACATTCCCTGTGCCAGCAGTTTAGGAAAACTGAGGCTCTCCGAGGAGTTAACCAAGTGTCACCGGGCAAGGGAGGGGTAAGGCAGGAGCCAAAATCCTACCCTGCGCTGCTCCAAAGCCCAGAGCTCACGTCCTTCCCTCTTCCACTCACAATTACAGTAGCTACAGTACAGAGCCCTGCGCTTTAGGGTCCCACAGGATTGGCCCCAGGATGTGGAGGGGAAGCTCCCAGCTGGTTGGGGGACCAAAGGGACAGTGAGGGGGTAGAGGGCAAGGTGAGAGTCCAGGCTTGCAGCCCCCTCCTCACCGCAGGGCCCGGCTCAGCTTGTCATAATTCATGTGGGGCTTGCACTTGCGGATGCCCCACAGCCGGGCCACCTCATCCGGGTCCTTGATGACGAACTCCCCGTAGTCCCCCTGCCAGGCGATGACACCCTGGTACTCCTCCTTCTGTAGCAGCTCCAGGATAAAGTGCCACAGCTGGATCTGCCTCGAGCCCGGGGACGACTCCGGCTTGTAGGCCCAATCCGGGAAGGCAAACCCTGGGGACAGGAGGTAGAATGGCCTGGGGTCAGGATGCCAGGTGGAGAGCTGTGGGTCCTCCCTGGCTCAGCAAAGGAGTGCATCCAGTCCCCCCTGGCTTCAGAGCTCTGAGGAGCAGCTGCTAGCCTAAGGCATCTTTAATGACCTGGTTGCCATCTGCAGACAAACCCTGCTGGTATCTAGTCCCCAAATTGTCTAGAGAGGACCTTGCATTACCGCGTCCTGCCTGAGCCTCATCTACCTGGGCACAACTTCCTCTGGCTCAGCATCAGGGGTAGCAGCCAGGAAGGGCCAGTTTCCTATACCAGTGATCCTGGGGAGGCACTGGCAGGAAGGGCAGCTCCTCTAGCTGAGCTCTTCTCTCTGCTGCCCCAGACAGGCAGCTTTTGGTGTCTCCGGCACCCTGAAGCTGGCCGTCACCCCCTCTTTCCAGGCCCTTGACTCCTGCTCCACCTCTACAATCGCCAGGTCCTCCACCGGGCCCACCCAGGCTGAGCCCATGTGTACACCTACCTGTGTGTGTACCTCTCATGTCCCTGGGTCCCCTCCATATCCATGCTCAGTCTATCTGAGCTGTCCAGAATAGGGTTGTGTGTCCTTGTGTGTGTGCAAGCACAAGTGCTCATGCATTCACAGATGCCTGTGGCAGACAACACATCACACAAACAGCCCCTCACTCACCAGACACCCAGCCATACCATGGGACGCAGGCATGCCATAATGCCCCATGGGAACACTGAGGTAGACATGCCAAACACAGGCTGCCCAAGATACCTCAGCAAGCCAACATTGCACACCCATCACAACATGCATGATTACACATTTCTTCCGGGCCCCATTAACAATACAACTGTGACCAATGACACACACAACCGCAGAGACCCAAATAACACCCCGTGTGATGGAGACAGTGGAGGTAGCATCCAGTAATCTGGGTCTCCACACACACAGCCTGACAGACGCATGCATCCTCCCAAACGCATGTTCATCGCTACACAGGGAGAGGAGTCCTGGGCTCCACTGTGCCCGTACACCCAGAAGTAGAGTGCAGGTGGGGAGTCTTGCGCTTCCCATCCCTAAGGCCCAGGCCTAGATCTAGCTTCTGAGCCACATCCCTCATCCCCTCCCACAGCTCAGAGCACCCCTAGAGCCAGGCATCAGCATAGAGTGCAGGGGAGGCCAAAACAGGACAGGAGCATCACTGAGTGGGAGACCTGGGTCCCTGTATCCTCTTGCTATGTGGCCACCAGGCAGGTCCTTGCCCTGTCTGGCTACTTATGGTTGAGAGGAGGAAAGGAGGAGCAGAGTCCCATCCAGGCTACCTACTATATAAAAGTGGGTGCTGATGCCCTCCTGCCAGGATGCCAGGCTGCTCCTCCCTAAGGGGAGATTTCTATCTTGACTCTTGTGCCTTTCTCACCTCGGATGACAGGGCTCAAGCAAAGGCAGCTCTGGCCCGCTCTACACCCCAGCATATATCCTCCCCACCTCCAAGGAAGCAAATGCTCAGACTACCTGCCCTGGGACACACATCCTCAAATGTGCTGTAGTTCCTGAGACAGGCACACAGCTAGAGAGGAGCCCAGTCAGCCGGCGGACACATGCTGACAGACAACGCTAGATACTGAGTCTGTCTCTCTCTGTCTCTGTCTCTGTATCTCTCTCTCTCTCTCTCTCTCTCTCTCTCTCTCTCTCTCTCTCTCTCTCCACACACACACACACACACACACACACACACACACACACACACCCTCCCTGAGGATGGAAAGCTGGACACAGCCACCAGCAGAGAGGCCAGGAGCACATCCAACCACACAACCCAGCAGAACATACCAGGAAGTCCACCGGGGTGCCAGCTAGCACATCACAGATGGGGAGAAACAGGTGAAAACTCTTCAGCCCACTGAGGCAGGAGCTCACGAACCCACCACCCCTCCCTCCAATGCAGGACTCTAAAATACAGACACACTGAGGTGGCCTCGGCAGCACACGTACAAACAGGACACAGGCTCACACAAAGACGGCAGACTCACAGACACTTGCCCAGGGTGATCCTTTCCAGACACACTAAAGTGTGACACAAGGACACACTCCACAACAAGACCCCGAATAACCAGGTGGTCTCAGTCTCTCCTTTGCTTGCATGCATGCGTGTGCGCACACACACACACACACACACACAGCCATCCAAGGGGAATGGGACTGAGGCTCAAATGCGCATCTAAGCCCAGCCCTGCTGTCCTCATGCCCTAGTCCCGAGCATCCACTTCCCAGCAAGTAGGCTCTTGGGAGCCCAGGCTCCTTGAGCGGAGCTGTCTGTCCATCTGTCCACCTGTCCGTCTTGCCTGACCCAATGCTCCTGCAGTCCCGGGTCCTGCTCTCTGCTGCAGGCACTGAGTGTGCAAGACCAATATGCCCAGACACCCTCATCCCTCTCTGACCTCCCTGCCTCATCCACCCCACCCCCATGTCCCAGCAGGCAGGTGGCAGGGAGAGGTAGATTCGAAGTTTTTAGCCAAGTTTTTCATGAAGGGGTTTTATTCAGGGGACTCTAACGGAGACCAAGGGAGACAGACTCACAGATGGACAAGAAGACACACAGAAGGTAGAGAGAAGGAAGTATGGTCCCCAGGGAGGGCTGGGGAGCAGGGGAGAGGAGGTCTGGGCCAGTTACCGGGGGTCCAGAGAGCCGGCAGGGCAGGCGGGGCGAAGAGAAGGTCTGAGACGCAGCTACAGTCCATGGCGGAGCTGGCCCTGCAGAGGCCAGACACACGGGGATGGGGTCAGTGGGAGAGACAGACACGGGTCAGCCAGCGGGACACTGCAGGGCTCCCCGACTCCCAGCCCCACCCTGCCCACCTGCTACCCACTACTCCCTGCACCCCTGTTCTTCCCAGCCCCTTTTCCTATAGGCCTCCCTCTGCCCCCTGCCCCCTGCCCCCTCTGTCCCTGGCCTGAGTCACCATCCTGCCCTTCCCACGGTCTCCTGCGGGTGCCTGGATCACTGACCACCGCTCCCAGCGTCCCTCCTCACCGCTCAGCACTTCTGCTCGCTGGCTCCGGGCTTACTCGCACTCACTGGCTCACGCCGCCCGCCCACCGTTGACTATAGCGCCACCCGCTGCTTGCTGCTGCCCTCTCGGTCCCATCTCTTTCTGACCTCATGGGGCTGGGCCCTTCATCTTTGGGTCTCCCTCTCTCCTTCTGTGTGTGTCTCTCTCCTGCTGCCCCAGATTTATCTGTTCTGAAGCTTGCCCCCACCCAGCTGACCCCCAGGCCAATTCTCCTGCTCTCCTTGGACCTGTCAGAGCTGGGCATCTGGCGGCCAGGCTGGGAGGGGAGACACAGCCCCTTCCCTCCCCAGGATGGCCCAGCCCCCTATGAGTCCCACAGACCTTCTCCAGACCTGCTTGCTGTTCCCCAGAAGACTTGTCACTGACTGGCTCTGTCTCCCCTCAGACCCCACCCCCTGCAGCCCTGCTCCCTCCGACACCCTCTCCAGATACCTCTTCCCTGAGATGCTCCATCCCTCTCCCCTCCTCTTGGCACCTTCTCCTCCAACAGCCTGCGCCCCTGCCATCCTTAACCACCCACTCCACACCACAGTGGCACTGCACCCCAGGACAGGGCATCCTTTTGCCACATGTAGCCCGTGCTGTGGGAAACCCCTCCCAGCCCCAGCCCTCAGACCCACCTCTCTGTCTTTCTAGACACCCCTCTAGGGCACTCACAGACCAGTGTTCCCCTGACAGCCTACTCGCCCTCGACCCCTAAGGACCCTCAGCCTGTTCCCTCACAAGCCCCTTCACCCCTTAAACACCAAACAGTGTCCCTCCCCTTCGACATGTCCAACAGGTCCCCAACTCCCAGTGTGCACACCTCCCCCAGCCCCACCTGTGCCCCTCGTGGCCCAATCCCACCTCCTGTCTCTTGGGGTTTATCTTTCCCTCTGTCTCACTTGGTCTCTCCTCCCCCCTCCCCCTCCTATCTCTCCTTCACTTAGGGCATCTCTTCCATCCTGTGGCCCTCTAGGTCTCTCTCAGTCTTCCTGACTATCTGCCTACCACCCCCACCTCTTCTGTCTCCTCCTCCATCTGCCCAGTTAGTCCATCTTGTAGTCTCTGAGAGACCTCCCCGTCTTGGTCTCGGTCGGTCTCTCCTCTATCATCCCTATCTCTGTCTCTCCCTCCCTCTCCCTTCTCTCTGGCCACCACCCCATCCCAATCTCTCTCCTGCTCTCCCCCTCTCGCTGCACTCTCCCTGCTCTCCCCACCTCTCTGCACTCCCCCTCACAGCCTCTCTGGGTTCCCCCTCCTTACTCCCCCCCCCCGCCCCCGCCCCCCATTGGCCCCTCTCATTTCCGTGTTGGTTTTGATTTCTCTTCCCGATGCTTTCAACTCCCCGCCGCCTCCTCCGGACACGTTATAACGAGGAGCCGTGGGATCGGCGCTCCGGGCCCTGCTCCCACGCTCCCCCCGCCGTCTCTCACAGGCGTCTCTGCCGTCTCCCAGTCTCTCTGTTGCCGCTTCTCCCCATCTCTGAGTCCCGGCCCCTCCCACCGGGTCCCCTCCCCTGCCACCTGCCCCAGGACTGTCCCAGCCACTGTTTCAGTCCTGCCTGGGTCAGCTGCCTGCACCAACCGGGTCCGCACGTCTCTGTCTCGTCTCTGTCTCTCACATCTCTGGCTCTTCAGGTCGCTGTCTCTGTCTCTGGGCCTCCACACCCGGGCCTCCCAGTCTCCCTGTCCCTGTTTCAGGGTCTCCACTGCTCCTACCTAGTGTCCTCTCTCTCAGTCTCTGTCTCCAATTCTCTGTTCAGTCCCAATGTCCCTCTCTTGGGGTCCCTTTGATCTCACCCTGCCCGGGGCACCCCCACCCCCATTGATCCTTGATCGACCCATGGAGGGAGCAGGGCTTGAGGCCCCGGGCGGGCGGTAGGGCCAGGCAGAGGCCTGTTAGGGCAGCTGGACAGCTGGACAGACAGCCCATGCCCCGGTGGCTGCTGTGGGGGAGCAGCCGCAACCCCGCCCCCCCGCCGGCCGCGCAGTGCAGATGGGGACTCCGGGCAAGCTTTAATTTTTAATTTTATTTTGCTTCCTCCACCCCCCTCGCCCCCATCTCCAGCGCCCGCAGCCATGGCACCGAATGTGTGTGTGTGAGGCAGCAGTGTGAGTGAGGCTGGGCAGGGAGAGGAGCCGCCTCCTTGCCAAGCACAATCACACAGACCTGCACACCTACCCAGGCACACAGCCACATGACACAGTGCACACGCACACCAACAGGGTACCATGCCACTGCACACCAACAGATCCACATGCCAACACAATCACACCACCACCACTGCCACACAATACACGCCACACACCCACACATCAACAAAGTCAGACACTACCACACGCCACACAACACGTATCTGTTAGGCTCATATCAAACACCATCACTATCACATACACACACACAAACACACACACCCATCAGTATAGTCACATGGAGGCAGAAACACGTAATACACACACAGGAAGCACACACACCAATTCAATCTCACACAGAAACAAAGACACACAATCAGTGTCTTGGAGAGACAGATGGACACAGAACAGACACCAAGGCTCACAAACACCAACACTCAGACCCGTGAGCACACAGGCACACACTGAGACAATGTCATGTAGAAACGGACACCCCCAAGCACACAGCCACACAGCCAGGCCAGAAAAACAGAGGCACCCTAGCAGCAGAGGCCCTCAAACACACATGCACTTGGTCACACATGGCGACACAGGGCCACATACATCACTAACACAGACAGCCATGGCCAGGCGGCAAACCCATTCACTCACAGACACAGTCACAATCACACACACACACACACACACACACACATGCATCACAGTCTCAGACATAACCAGCACCGCAGGGAGCCTGCAGCACCCCCCAGACAGAAGTCAAGGCTTGGTAGGGGTGCACACTCAGAGGTGACCCCACCCCAGGCTCCCTGCTGCTGTTGCCACCCTCTCTGCCATCTCTGCTACCCATCTCTCTGTCCACCATCCATCTGTGGACTTGGGGTGTGTGTGTGTGTGTGTGTGTGTGTGTGTGTAATGCGCACTTGTCTCAGGCTCCTTCTCACCTCATCTCCCTCAGCACCCCTCTGAATGTCAGCTCTCTGTCTGTCTGTCTGTCTGTCTGTCCGTCCCTCACTGCGGGCTGCACTGCTCATCTTGCTGTCTCCATCTCTGTCTCTGGCTGGCCTGGCCCTCCCTGTCTCTGGGCCTCTGAGGCCTCTCTGTCTCTGTCTCCTCACCCCATCACCACGGCCCCCTGGGCTGGGGTTTAACCAGTTGTTTTGATTTCTCTAAGCTGCCCTGGCCGCCTCGGGAGCTGCCTGGGGCCTCACAACCCCCCCCCCAGCCCTTCATCCCTCACCCAGCCCCCCATTCCCACCTCCCCTTAACACAATCTGCACAAGTGGAATGAAAATTGATTTTTTTTTTAAATTTCATATCTTCTCCAGGGCTCTGTCTAAAGAGGAGAGAGAGACATGGCCCAAGACCCCTCTACAGCCACACCATCCCTGCACACTCATGCGCGCATGCACACACACACACACACACACACACACCCTTGACTGCACCCATGGCCACATGTTCAGACACCGTCTAAGGACACACACCCTCATGCTGCTCGTCCGTCCGTGCAGGGTACATCGGTGCAGATGGCAGACTCCAGCACCCACCAGGAGGCACACCCCCCCATACACCTCTGGGCCACAGCTGCCAGCCACCGCCCAGCTGTGCCCACATGCAGCAGTGCAGGCCCCCACCCCACCCTGGGCATGGGGCAGCCTCCCTGCTGTCACATGCTGTGTGTCCATCTCACACACAGCTGTCCACCCAGGGTAGGGCCACAACCATAGGTACACATGGCCAGGTTCAAGGACCACCACATCACGGACACCAGGAGATCCCCATGGCTGCCCTGGCAGGACGGGGTCAGGCAGGGGCTTTCCTGCCAGGACCTGCACTCAACTCCAGATGTCACAGCCATTTACAACCCTGCCCACATCAACCAGGTGCTCAGGTGTGGCTCTGTGCAGGGTGACTGTGTCAGGCATACACACACACAAGCCACAACATACTGAATACACACACATACCATATATATATATCACATATCACACATTATGTACTATGCACATACCACACATGTACATGCCACACACACCATATACACACCACACTACACGGAGATCACACATACACCATTACATATAACACACACACTACAGTTACCACACCCCCAACATCCATCCCACACATAGCACACACACCATACACACAGATCGCATACACACTCATGCCACACACAGAGACTCCTCACTATTTCTCCCAGTGCCACACACTGTAATTCTCACGGGGACACACAAAACATGGGACTTCCAACACAGTCAGACATAGTGCAGAGACCCACCGAACACACATGCATACCCAGTGAACCAAACAGATGTAAGCACTCACATGTCATCATGGACACACGGCCTCACACATGGAAAGGGACAAGTTCATGCAGTTGCACACATGTACCATCCAACAATCACATGAACATGCAACCTCCAGCATACCATCACACACACACACACACACACACACACAGCCATCAACACTTAGGGCTAGTCATCCATGTGTACCCTCTATCCAGCCTGTTACATTCCACTTCCCCAGTGACCACACACTGACCACACACACACAC